ACTGAACTGATTCAAGAAGTCGTTGTTAATCAAATTATTTAAGTACGGTAATATGTACGAATTTCCTTACCTATTTACGATTTATTTGCCATCAAACGAATGGATTTTATACATTTCGCTATAACAGACAAAGTTTAATCTTCATTCATTCTGTAAAACCTTGTCACAAAGTTTACTTAGATATTTTGTTATATCTTTGCATTTTTTCAAAAGTACTTAGTACTTACGTAGGTATTGATTTATAAAGTCAAATTTACTAATTTTGCCTTTCCGATTCATTTAATGCTAAAGGGGACTCCTTTAAAACGAACTTAATTGTTAATTTAATTCCTTACACCACAGCGTTTGTATACGGATTGGTCGAAAAAACCCGTTCGTTTTCAAATTTACTCTATTCAAACGAGCGCCACGCAACCTGTCCCGCTCTCTACAAAGGCATTTGAGGGGATTCCGATGATTCTGTCTCTTTCGCACTAAATAGGGACGCGGTAAGAATGCACCACGCGGAGAATTGATTCGATTCATGAGTAATTGTGACCATTTATATTTAAATTATACGGGACATTGTCAAAATTATCGAAACGGGGATTCTTATAGGTATTTTGTTATTGACAACCTCTGTGGCCGAGTGGTTTGTACGCCGGGTTACATGGTGTCGCCGACTCGAGAGGTCCCGGGTTCGAATCCCGGTGGGGGCAGATGTTTGTGTGATGAATACGAGCATTTGTACTCCAGTCATGGATGTTTCATATGTATTTCTATATAAGTATACTTATATATGTACAGTGTATGTATTCTATCCGTTACCCTAGTATACCATAACAGAAGCGTGTTTACTTTGGGGCTAGACTAATTGGTGTGAGAGTTGGAAATATTTATTAATTTATTATGATTTCTATATTAAACATATACCTACTTACCTAAAAATATGAATACCATAATGGTAGTCCTGTTAATTAAAGAAAATTTTATTTAGAAAAAATACGGTGTGATATATGAAGCTTTACTGTCTTTGTACAATAAAAAGGCGACATGTCTGAACTTTCGTTTTCTGTAGTGGGTAACTCATGGAAACGTTACAATATTAAATAAAAAAAAAATAGTTTTGTGTCCTAGTTGGTGATATTTTTAACTAGTTTTCCTATATCTACGATTTTAACACCTCCCTATTCAAAACCGCATATTTCAAATCACAAAAGTAGGTGTTTTCATAAAAAAAATGTTCTACAAAGACACCGAGAAGGAGTTCAAAAAAATCAGGTCAGTTCCGGTAACAATAAACCATGTACATGTAATATCCGGTAATAATAGACTGTGAATAATTTCCTGTTCTAATTTTTTGTTATAATATAATGTTAAGCCGATAAACTAATTATCTTTATTTTTCTAAAGGTTTAAAACATGTGCGTTGATGAGCTTTTCCAATGCATATTAATAATTATCATGAAGCATTCTTTTGTTAGGGTGACCACACGTCCGACATAAATACGTCCATAACAAAATCTTTCGCGATCTTTTACATAAAAAAAAACAGCTTGTGGACAGAGTACGCATATCAAAAGTGAAACGAACTTGCATAATCTTATTTTATTATATAAAATTCTCATGTTATAATGTTAGTTACCATACTCCTCCAAAACGGCTTGACTGATTTTTATGAAATTTCATATGCATATTCAGTAGGTCTGAGAATCGGCTACCATCTATTTTCTTACCTCCAAGTGTTAATGGTTGTCCAGCCCTATATATTTTTTTTGGTATTTTTTTTTATTTTTTTTATAATGTGGCACTAAAAATACAAACAACCCTAAATTTTCATCCTTCTACAACTATTTTATGGCGGGACGAAGTTCACTGGGTCAGCTAGTAATAATTATAAAAGTATATAATGTCATAATTTAAAAAAAACCGTCCTTTAAAATTTAAAATCGTCGTACTCAAATCGGACGCTCAAATCGTGACGCGGCCTTGAAAAGTTACCCTCATCGCACGCAAAAATGTTTCACTTTAAAAAAAACAGGCATCCCTATCTTAGATGATGCGCTCATGCATGGTCCGTTAGTTTTCTGTGCCGTTGTGGGAGGTTTCTGACATAATCTTTGTTTTGTTTTGATCGCTCACCGTTTAACGTAAATGGTATAGGTACTCACATTAATGATTACGTCGAGAATTGGCAATGAAGAACTACCTTTTATCTTAAAAAGATGGCATTTGTAAACAACTTCGCTCTTATCAGACTCGCACAACACATTATGGGTTAGCCCACCTACATAGGCGTAGGAAGGTTTCTGATATAATGTTTTCATTCAGAGATTGAGCCCGACTTGTTCAGGCGCATGCTGGACATGCTGGTGGTTAAGTATCTATACGATATCTTTATACAAAGTTTTCTTTCATAGACAGGTAGGCAAATGACTCTACCCCACGTGATGATAAGTGGTGATCAAGTCCGAACGCGAAGATAGCTGGTACAGCAGTTATAAACTGCCACACCAACCATCCTCACTTTGACGGTCTGCAAAAATGCTTCTGCACGCCTCTCGTAAAGGATAAATTTAGTTGAGCGATGAAATGGAGCTGGAATTTCTCCATAATTATGAAGCTTAACAATTTTAAAATGTATTAAGTAGTCCTTAGCACACATCTATAAATTAACAAAAGTCGTCATCCAGAGTGTAACGTCTAGAAATAATTACGGTCATCTTGGTCATCATGCGATAAGCACGATATAGTTTGTACAAAATATAGAAACCGCTAAAAATTTTGTTTATACTAAATATATGGCAACTAGTTAGGCAGTTAGGCAACTAGTTAGGCAGCCAGGCAACTAGTTAGACAGTTTGGCAACTAGTTAGGCAGATAGGCAACTATTTAGGCAGATAGGCAACTAGTTAGGTAGCTAGGAAATTAGTTAGGCAGATAGGCAACTAGTTAAGCAGCTAGCTAGCTAGGTAACTGGGCTGGTAGTTAAATACGCATCGAGTTGGGCGACCCCAGATAGCAGTGGTTGTGGGCTTGGTTTAATATTTTGTTTGGTGAGTGATAGACCGGGAGTGTGTGCGATGGATCGGGAGCGGTGGCGAAGGACCGGGAGCGTGCACACTGAGCCTATTCCGCACTGGCCCTATAACACCCAAACGGGTGTTGTTATGTTTTTTTGTTAATTATGGCATTGGATATTTTATTGCTGGCAATAAGCTAATTGTTTCAGAATTTTAATAGAGGTTTTAAAGCATGGGGGAAGTGGTTGTTTATAGATTCATCTGGGTAGATAACCCTATCAGATACCCACCGTCCAACACAAACGCTACTAATGAATACGGGGACGGTTTTATTGAAATATTGACATTCCATCGCAGCCACGGAAGCTTGCCAGTAGCATACTAATGCGAGGGTCACAGACTTTTAGTAAAACAGATGATCCAGTCATACTACAATTGTTTGCTTATACTGGGAGTATAATTAATGAATGGGGAATAAGCTTAGACTAGTTACGCCGTATTTTATTCATACCCTTAAAATGCCTTTTGTCATTCAATGGACAGAGAAAAAACACGGAGTAACTAACCCAAGCTTATTCTCGTTTAATAATAAGGAGGCTAAGGTAACAATAGAAATCCGTAAAAGATATTACGCATGGAATTGTTATGCAGTGTTTTTAGATCACTTAAGAGCGGACGCGAACTAAGACATTTGAGAAATAAGTATTTGAAAACACTAAGTGTCGCCGCACACGTGCCACCGACCACAACCACAAAACGCCGCCACCGGCATATTTCTTGTAGTTTTCATACATTTTATATGGACTCGCCACACACGGCACGCCGGTGGCCGCCACACGCTACAAATCGTCGTTGCTCGCTTCTTGTGGCCCGCACCGGCCACTTAATGCGCCGATACAAAACGCCGCCACACGTCACTCGCGCGATTCCTCACCCCTCTCTCCCTTACCTTAGTCGGCCGCTGTCGCGCGCTTCAGCCACTTTAGTAGCCGCTTCTAGCTTCTCGTGGCGGCGTTTGTGGCTGTGGCGTGTGGCCCGTGTGCGGCGACACTTACTGACACGCATTGGCAAATACCGTGCGATGGGGACAACAGTAGTTGCCGCTGAAAATTGCGTATAAAAATTGCAAAAGTCGAGGTTCGGCTCTCGACGTTTTCCTCCTCGAAAATTAAACATAATTGTCAAAGAAATTTTACCCATTGAATAATAAGTAGTTATACTATGCCTCTATGTTTTGCTTTTTTATAAATGCTTATTAAATCTCCACACTAGACGTCTTTAGTGGTGATACAAGATTGTTTATTTTTGGCATTTTTGACGGCTTCTAGTTTCTTTGAAACACAAGTAATCGAAGAAAGGAAAACATATTAGTATAGAATGAGTAAAATTATATTCTATGTATGAAAAATAATTCTTTGGTGATAAAAATGAAGGAGGAATCAGTCCAGAACGTTTGTATGGAAAAACATTTCCCGCTTCCCCTCTTAATTGACATTTGGAATACGGCGGCAAAACACAGTAAACTGAATAAAATCATACAAGTTTATACCATGATTATTAATGAGAACTAAAAAATATTAACAACACCAGTTTAGGAAAGCCAAAGGGAGAGATATTCCACCAAGCTGGTTGATGCTAGGTCGCGGCCCCGCCCCGACCGATGTTGACTGGAAATTGTATAAATTAAAAGAGACTTGGTTTTGACCAACTGAACTTTCTAGTCTGTGGCCATTTACCATTCTGGGCCTAGTACATTTTTGCTGTTAAACAGTGATTTATTGCGGATTCACTGTTTGTATGTATCGTGTGGGGTCTTTGTAGTACAAACACATTCATTTCTCAATGAACAACGCGTGTGCAAGTTATAAAAGTACAAGCCCTTTATTAAAAATAAACTTACATTGTTTTTATTAGTTTAAAAATAGCTGAATATTTAACAGTAAACCCCGCGGGCTAAAAAAGACTTATAATTTAATATGTATTTTTTATATTTTCCAGCTCAAGTTTCAATGGAGAGCATGATGGTGGGCGGCGTCGGTGTAGGCGGAGTGGGTTCCGTGGGCGGGGGAGTGGGTTCCGTAGGTGGGTTCCAACTGGTCCGTGAACCAACATCGGGGGCCTTGCTACTCCTGCCCACACCGCCGGATCTTCAACACGCGGTCGTCTGGGGCGGGATGCCGTACCCATCTGCACCACTTCTCTTACCACCAGCACCTCATCCCTCGCATCATCTCCAGCTGCTACCCGGAGATCTGCTCGCGTCGACGGCAACGTTACAACACACGCATACTCATTCTACCCGATTAGTGACCTTAGCGCCAGCACCCGCTCCTCAACCGCACCCAACCCACGCCGACAAAAGGAAACCTATCATACAACCGCTCATAACGCCACACGCATTAATAAAAATAGAACCGGAACCGCCGCAGGAGAAACCTCAGCCTACCTTCGCGCCAGAACCAGTCCAACAACCAATGTTGGCGACGCATTTGTATTACCAACCTGATTATTCAGACCAGGTTTGCAGGAGCCAAGCTACATCTCCAGCCGCACCACCCACTCCTCCCCCGGAAGCGCCTGAAGGTCCAGCGCACAAAGACGCTTCCAACCAAACGGACCATATCGACGATGAAGACGAATCACCGAATCATGCCGACGAAGACGAGAGAGATGTTGCTTGCGTGGGTGTTGCGCATTTTCCTGAAGACTCCATTATCCAAACACAAACAACGCTGTTGCAACCCGCTCCAATAGACAGTGCGGAAGATTCTTCTTCTGAAGGGATGGCGACCTCGGCTGTTGTTGGAGCAGTGGAGAAGGCTATTGATGCGATCGAAAGAGACGAAGCTATGGGAGACAGTTCTAGTAGTGGGGGCTCTCATGATTTAGTGATAGACACAGCTAGTACGTCTCCAGTGCCACAACAGAGTCGACCGCCGGTAGACGTTAGTGGTTTAGAACTTTTGTCAAATAGTATTGAGCAATTCGAGAGAACTACTCCTAGCAGCTGCATGCCTGCACTAGAACCAGTGCCTTTGACTGTGGACACCAGAACCACGTCTAAATTAAATATATTGATAAAAAGTTCGCCTAAATCTCCACCAAGAACAGAAGCCGAACAACACGCAAGATTCGAATATCCTCCTGTGGAACCAAGCACAAGCGAGACCTCCAAACAATCTTTCGACGGATTGGGTCTTTTGTGCGCGTTAGCTGAGCAAAGATTTATGGAAGAGGTGGAGAACCCACCTGCGGGTTGTGCTCCGGCCTCCCGTCCTTTTATAAAAAGTGAGCTATTAAGTCCAACAGACATAGACAGGGCTAAAGAGATGAAAAGAGAGAAACATAGACATAGAGATGACGACTCTTCAAGTGAGAGACGGAGAAAGAGAAGCCATGACAGGACGGAGAGACTGCGGCATAAGATAGAAAAGATGAGGCGGCACAAGAGAGAAAGAGATCAAGATGAAGCCAGATCAAACGGGGGCGAAATAGAAGCGAGCTTGCGACGGGTCACAGCTTGCGCTTGTGGCGTGTCTGACTGTTCGCACGTACCGGCTGTGCCTTCAGCTCAAGCGTTAGTGAACGCTATCGAAAAAGATATGCGGGAAACTTTAGAAGATCTACAACGTCAGTGCGATGAGAAGAGAGCTCAGTTGGACGCATTGACGCCGCCCCTCCTTGCCTTATCCACACCTCCGACGCCTTCCACTCCTGCTCTGTCTCCTAATTCCGATAGAGGTTCCTCTAAAAAGAGGAAAGTCGGAAGACCCAGAAAGGTCTCCAGTCCAGATTCTACCGAGACCATAGTAGCTAAGAAGCCGAAATCGAAGAGCAGTCTTGTTGGTTATTTGCTAGCTAAAGGAAAGTTGAAAGGGGGTATATTGTGCACTCGTGGTGAGCCCTCGAGGGAGGACGCTCATCGCACGAGCAAAGTCCGCCCGAAGTTGAAAGCCGAGCCAATTTTGAAGGTGTGTTCTGAGGAGGAAGAGAACGAATGGGGCCTTAATAGATCAGCTAGTTCCTCAATGGAGAGTTTGAACGAAGTCAGACAGAAGAACAGGGAAAAAGTTGATCGTTTGGTGCGAAAACATTCTAGGGACGATTTACCCGAGTTAGAGTTTGCGGTGCGCCGCGCGAGTGCTTCCAGTGACAGTGATAAAGAGAGGCGTCGTGCCAAAAAGAGACGGAAGAGTGTTAAGTCGAAAGAGAGATCTGATGATAACGCGAAAGCTCAGCCTGCTGAGAATGTGTTGCAGCAAGCTTCGATATGTACTTTAACCGAGGATAAGCTGGACTCTTCGCCGCGAGTGTTGACTGCGATGGGCGGTTTGTTTTACGCGGGCAAGTTGAGTGCGGTGCAGGCGCCAGATGTGTACGCTATCACGCTGGACGGCGAGAGGGGAAACAAGCCTCATATACTGTCGAGAGAAGAAACTCTAAGAGACGCTGTAAGTAAACCACGCTACCTTTATAATATTTCTATCTTCTATCAGCTTATTAATGTCCCCACTGCTGGGGCCTTCTCTATGGATGGAACAGGGAGATTGGGCGATGACCCACCACTCAGTGCGGATTGGTGGGTGATAACGACTGCACTTCAGCCGGTATTAACCGCTTAATGTGCCTTCCGCAGGTCACCCATCCAATGACCGAGCAGTGCGAAAGTTTCTTAACTTCAACGATCGCAGCCGAACACGCTAACCGGTTGTGCCATCGAGCTTCTCAATATATTTTAAATCAATTTAAGAGTTAAAATTTATTTATTTATTAATTTATCTTTAACAAAGTTTCTACAGCGGTTTTTGTGAAAATTAATACAATAAAATATAGATATAATCTTAAAGCCAATTACAGAAACTCATTACGTACACATTAGATATTAACGGCGTTATTATATGTCAGTAATTATTACATTTAATTTAATTTAATTTTAAAAATTGCATAAAAATCATATAATTCATTAACATAAAAATAAAATAAAATAAAAGTACTTCTTTTAATCATGCTCTGTCTGGTCGTAAAATAAATGAAGAAACTTTAATATTTCTAACGCACATACATATTATTTTGCGTTCTATATTATATTTTATTAGAAAACAGTGTCACTAGAATATGCGATATTTGGTGGTGAGGTCGGGTAATGGGCTTAGTAGCCCTAAGTGGCTTGGCTAACATACCTAGCTGTAGCATTCGTTATAATGCTGCAGCATAAGTTATAATGCTGCAGCATAAGTTACAATGCCGCAGCCTTTCTTCTTCGCCTTAGGCTAAGCCTAAGTCTATCCAAGTTATTCCCTGTCAACCCGTAGATAAAAGTTATTTGTCTGATTTCGTATTAATTGAACACATTGAAAATGTTTCTCTCAACTTCAGTATTGAGTTGAGGATTGCTGTTTTTTTCTTGTAATAATTTAGATAACAGAAAAGCTTTAGCCATAAAAGAATAATGTTTGTGTTGCACGACTGGTACCAACTTACTAGACTCCAAAAACTACTTACCAGACCTGGTAAAAAATCACAGTTAGGGAACAGTAATCTACAATTTTTCCCTCTAACTGATCCAGACATTCAGGATTTTTTTTATCTTTCTCTGTGCCAGTGCCAGCTTATGCGCATATTGCTCTCAGCAGTACTATTGCCTCGACATGATAACTTTGTACCCGTGGAGTTCGATGACAAACACGAAATGTTTTATAAAAAAAAGGTGTCTCTGATGGCAACAGACTCTTTCTAAAACTATATCTAAAAGCCCCCTCCATCCAGACAACAATGATAGTTACCGTAGTAGCCTATAATAATCTTCTTTCCAAAGGACATTGGGCAAAAATATGGATGCTGCACCCACATCCGCCACGGCTTAAACTACATTTGTTTGAAAGGTATTACAGTCATGATCATCTGTGCTGAAGCGCATCAAATTCCATCCCGGAGGTCGTTAGTTATTTTAAGATAAATAGGTACAAGTACTATAACGAACAAACATTAATGAAACAAAGGAATTAATTTAGTTAGTTCGACCCTACATAGGGGGCTCAGGTATTATGTTAGTACTTCACAAGATGCACGGGTGCCCCCTTATATTATTCTTCCGCGCTAGAGTAAATCCAAAAATCCCCGCATAGGTTGGGGTTTTTTCAATCATTCTGTTCGTTAATAGTAAATTATCTTTTTTGTAAAGGGGAGCGTCCACAAATCACCCTAACTTGTCCACGCTTCGGAGAAAACATGATTCCAGTTCGTCCATACACAATTACAATTAACAAAATCGATAATCGTGTTCCAATATCCAAAGCGTGTTAGATAAAAATCAATCAAGTGACAGGGGAGCGCACAATCAAAACGAAGTAAGATGAGTCGACTATTTGCAACTGCAAGTCCTTCAACCCCCGTAAATCGTTTTGAGGTGTCTCAGTAAGTGCAGGCGTAAGATGCTCGGCAGGCTTTGTTGTATATCTGGTTATAAAGTACGATATGGCATATTATTATGGTAGTAACCATACCAACCACCTTTATTTTATATTATTAGTAAATAATATAAAATAAAGGTACTATAACATGAATTTATTTAGTTATTTAAATATGCCCATGTGTCATATCTTTTGACTACCAGGTATTTTCTACGGTGTCATATCTTTTGACCACCAGGATATATTTTTACGGTGTCATAATAAAAAAGGCTAGTTTTTCATAGATCTATCGATTCATACTAATTACATTGCTGGCGGAGCTGGGTGTGTTTTGCCCATTGTACTTTATCAATATTTTTTTCGTTCTCCCTAAACATTTGTTTAGCATCGATCATAGATCCTGGAAGTGAGTCCCACATCCGTGTCGGATATCTCTAATTGTACGAAAAGTTTTAGCACATAAAAATTGTGTCACACGTGTGATGGCAACAGATTCCTTCATGATAGCAACAGTTTTCTTTATGATAGCAATAGTTTCATGATAGCAACAATTTCGTTCATAATTACAATAGTTTATTTTAGAAAATACTTAAAAGACCCCTCCATCCAGATACAACAAAGGCAGTATTACCATATTCGCCTCCAAACATTTCTCCTCAAACGGACGGAACTGGCCTTTAACAACATTTTTATCATCGATTATCATCGATCATAGATCCTGGAAGTGAGCCCCACATCCGTGTCGGATCTCTCCCCCGGTGCCCGCGTATGCGCATACTGGTCGCAGCAGTACCGCTGCCTGTACCCCGGTACTGTGGCAGTGGCGTCTCCGGACCCGAGACATGACAACTTCGTGGCCGTGGAATTCGACGATGGCGATTCTGGAAGGATAGCGATTGAAGATATAAGATTCTTGGAGCCGAATTACCCTGTCGTCGGTAAGTAATCACTCTTAGAACATAGGGCCTGAGAAAATAGTACCTAAAATTCTTGTTATAATCATATTCTGTGTAATGAACTTGACATTTTTTGATTGTCCAAATTGATTCCATCCATTATAAGTTTAAAACTTCTTCTTTTTTAGAAATTGATTTCAGTAACGTCATTAGGTAATTTTAAAAAGTATTTAAATTTATTAATGCAATAGAAATTTCTACCATAACTCTTGCATTTGTGTGTAATTCCCTCCATCCAGATTCAACTAGTTCTATTGTATCATGCTCAATAATTATATTGCAGAATACGAAAATCCTTTATTCACTTTGGGCAAAAGAAGAAGAAACACTAGCGTCACAGAAGACAAAAGAGCGACCGCTCCCACAAGCAATGAACCAAAACCGTCCACATCAGAAAAACCTGACGAAGAAGAGCACCACAAAGACAGAAAGAAGCTCAAAAAGCATCGGAAGGACAAAATCAAGAGGCACTCCAGCGAAGACGACCCATCAGACTACGTCAAAAAGAAAAAGAAGAAGCACAAGTGTTGCGAAGAACACTGCAAGCACAGAAGACATCACAAGAAACATCACAGGAAGCACAGAAAACGACACCACTCGAATTCGAAAGAACACTCGAGTTCTTCCGGCGAAGATAATCAAAGACAAAAGTCTTCTTCAGATTACATCGATTCTAACAAATCTAATGAAGATTCCGGTGATTCTAACGATAGGTTGTCCACTCTGATTGCTTGTGAGAAATCTCCAGATGAGAAAATGAAGACGGTTATTAAAAAAGCGGTGTTGTCCAAGAAGAGTTTGGTGAAGAACGCAGTTTTGGACTTCAGCAATTTGGGTAAAATGGTTGCCAAGAAAGACGAGGAAGCGAAGGATAACTTGAAAGATAGCGGGATTTGCTTAGAGGAAGACGCTTCTACCAGTGATGCAGTTAAAAAGGTACAGATAATAAATTTATAACTTTATAATGGTGTCCATTCTGGTATAAATCTCTAAACTTAAAACTAAATTCAACGTCAGTCGCTCCTTTTCTTTTTGTATAGAGGAAAACAAGAATACGCTGTTGTCAAATTTAAGTTTAGGTATAGTTACAGAATCATGCCAGAAATGACAACAATCTACTTTACCCTTTATAAGGCACTAAAAGTCAAAAGACAGATGTAAATTCCTTGTTCCTTAGTGTATATTTAAAGACAACATTAGTGTTGATTTCGTTTAAGATTGATCAAAAATTTTGAAAATTTTGGTTTTGACCATAGACGAAGTCAGTTTGAACTAACTCCCGAGTTCCCGCTCCAACTGTAAAGTGAAACTTGGTTTATAAATGTAAGAGTTCCCGCTCCAACTGTAAAGTGAAACTTGGTTTATAAACGAAATAACTCCCGAGTTCCCGCTCCAACTGTAAAGTGAAACTTGGTTTATAAACGAAGCGATTGTAGTACTAAAAGTTCGTATACCTATTGCCTGAATCTTCACATTATATTGCGTTCTAGAGACTTTTTAATATCATGTTAGTGTGACAGCCCATTTTCTCATGGCTCCATCGCTTTTATGCCTCAGTCCATTTTCCCCATCTGGTCGGTCTCCTGTTCATTTGTTTTTTCTTTGAATAAAAAATCATTTACTAATTTCTAAATTATGTAAAGGAAAGTGATATTAGAATTATCCCTGAAGTTATTTTTATATTTGACGATACTGTAAATAATAATAGAGGGGGAAAAACAGCCCTCGCTGAGTTTCTTGCCGGTTTTTCTCAGTACAAGGTCTCCCGCCGTAGTTTTGCGAATCGATGGCGTAGCTTCTCGACTTTCAGAAATGCTTGTAACAGCCTAGACTGAATAAATGTTTCTTGATTGATTGATTTATTACTTTGTTTGTTTTCAGAAGAAACGCAGAACCGTATCATCGTCCTCCGACGGCCCCGGAGCCAGTGGTGTGAGCAAGATGGCAGCATTCCTGCCGGGCGCGGCTCTGTGGCGTTGGAGCGGGACGGCGTATAGGCGCGCCGCCAGGCCGAGGCTGCGCAAGCTGTTCTATCGCGCGATACAACGCGGCGACGAAACATTGCGCGTGAGTGACATTATAGCGGGCGCCTAGGGAGGGAGCGAGACGGCAGCATTCCTGCCGGGCGCGGCTCTGTGGCGTTGGAGCGGGACGGCGTATAGGCGCGGCGCCAGGCCGAGGCTGCGCAAGCTGTTCTATCGCGCGATACAACGCGGCGACGAAACATTGCGCGTGAGTGACATTATAGCGGGCGCCTAGGGAGGGAGCGAGACGGCAGCATTCCTGCCGGGCGCGGCTCTGTGGCGTTAGAGCGGGACGGCGTACGGTGGAGTGTTCAACGGCCAGTTTCAATAATCAAACTCGAGTAAAAAAAATACTTATTCTGGATACGTTTCTTTTAAGTAATTCACAGAAATAACTAGACAGTATAATGCGATTCAACTAAGAATAGGACTGACTGGGCGCCATATTTTGACGTCATAGCTGTCAATTCAAACAAAATACATAGGTAGAGTGAGGAAAAAAAAATCTTATTAATAAAATTTATTTACTTAGATTAAGTGTGAGAAAACATCAGATTTTTTAATAAAATAAAATTACTAAGGTTGAGAGAAAAACCAACCGATTTTTAATAATATTTCTTTAATAAGACTGTGTGAGAAAAAACAATAATCAGAATCTAGCTCTTCAATTCCGCTCATCTCTACATTACCGCCGGAGTAGTTATGAATAATCATGCAGGTTATATACGAACATGCATCCTACGTATATGTAAACGAAAATTTTAAATCGAGTTTTTGAACGCAACATAGTGACGTTTGGTCGACGATTTAGGTTATTAACCATTCATAGCCAAAGCTCAATAAATGAAAAAAAATATCAAACAATATTAATTATTAATATTTGTTATTGTTTGTTTAAAAATGTTTGACTTTTATTCTAGAATTAGCTGAGTGCTAAAAAAGTGTTCGGAGATTTTTTGTAAACTGTACTTTACAAGCGACGTTTGATAGATGGAGGTCATTGGCTTTCCTATTCTTATTTGAATCGCATTATACGATTCTGAAATAACCGTTTCTTTCGCGTAAGTAACATGTAATCTATTTGTGAGGAGATCCCTGGCGCATTAGTTAGCGCGTTCGGTTTGCGATCGTGGAATTTCAGCAACTTTCGCAATTGCTGGTTATAGAATGGGTGACCGTATATTTATTATCTCAAGCTCGTCCATGCTTTCCAAAGCATGAAGAAACAGGAGGCACGTTAAGCCGTCGGTCTCAGCTGCATCTGTACTCGTTGGAAACTACCAACCCTCACTGCAATTTTCCATCTATACAAAAGGCCTGTGTCCCACTAGTGGGGACATTAAAAGGCTGATATTAATGATCGATTTGCTTGGACTTACTTCAAAAATAACCATCAGATTGTTATTGTTTGTTGTAGCCTAATATTATATTTTTATTTTTTAATTAAACATTTAAATGCTAGATGTTAAAATCTAAAGAAAAATTTACTAGAATCGAATCCACGAGGACCAGGCAGCAGATAGGACTCAAACCCACGCCCTCCGCTATCCAGGTGGATGCACTGACCATTATACTACCGCAGCCCCAATTGTCCGTGTCGAATTTGCTCTAGCATTTCTTAGGCTACAAGGCAGTGATATACTATCTGCAGGGAAGGCATATAACTTTTTTATTCCGTTTTTTACCGCAATCTGTCTTGGCGACGTTTAGGTTATCCTCATCAGCCTATTAATGTCCCCACTGCTGGGGCACAGGCCTTCCCTTTGGATGGAAAACTGCTAACAGCTAAATGTCCAATAAGGTTCTGTAATGCTCCAAATGCTCTGTTTTCCCGGACCAATATAATCTGGACATCATCAAGGCCAGAGTGAACAGGCATCTTCTAGGCAGGCGTCTACCATCCTAGGCCTCATCATCGCTTTCCATCAGGCGAGATTGTGGTCAAACGCCTTACCTATTAAACAATAAAAAAAATGCTAAGGGTCCAAATAGGGTAATGATTGTGATTGTTGTTTCAGGTGGGTGAAGCAGCCGTTTTCCTTTCGACTGGCCGCGCAGACCGGCCATATATCGGTCGGATAGTGGCTCTATGGGAAGCTCGCGGGGCCATGGCCGTGAGGGTCAAATGGTTCTATCACCCTGAGGAGACCAGCGGCTGCCACCAATTGCAATATCCGGTCAGTGTTTATCCATACTAAGACTTTAGTTTATTGAGAATCCCACAGGAACTTGTATTTTTTCCGGGATAAAAATCTCCTATGTCTCAATAAAGGTCTTAACTATATGCGTATCAAAATTTCATCTAAATCCGTACAGTAGTTTTTGCGCGATTGAGTAGCAACATACAAACAAACGTACAAGCTTTGGCATGCATGGTATTCTGCTGCCTGTCAACTGGAGCGGTGCGAGGTTCCGGAGCGGAGAAACGCTGAAATATTAATCAATAGGTTTGCACAAACTCTGTTCACTGAAGAAGAGCGTAAGTTTTGTGAAATCAATACTTCTCCGTTTCTCCCGGAACACTTAGTATTAAAGTGAGACAAAGGTAGCGCTCCCAAGCAGGTTTGGCCGAATTATAAAAGCTGTAAAGGATAAGCACGGCGCCATGTAGTGGTAAAACGTTTTACCGCACGCTCCGTTGTATGGCCCGTAATTTTGAACTTTAGAACAATTTATACAACCGTCGTAAATGCATTTTTTGAGCAAATGAGTTAAAAAGTATATTACGAACAGAAAACAAACAAGTAACTTCTAATCTTAATTATAGATGTCGTGTAACATCTATATTTAAGATTTCACTTGTTTGTTTTCTGTTAGCACTGTTAAGCAAAAAATATCGCAAACAAGATCACATTATTGAAAAACTTGCATGGGTGTGAAGTAATAAAATTGTAAAATTCAAAAAAGAAACTTAAATTAAAAGCAAATAAAATTATGAATCATTATCCATTTTCAGGGTGGCCTATTCGAATCACCACACACTGACGAGAACGACGTACAGACAATATCGCACAAATGCGAAGTGTTGCCGCTCGCACAATACAAGGAGCGCATGGGCGATGACCCAGTGAAATATAGCACAGTCTATGACAACAACGACGTTTACTACTTAGCCGGACACTACGATCCCACACAGCAAACCCTCAAAATGGAACCGGACATACCGTTCGCAAACAACCCGAACTCCTAAAGCGTTATGCCGCCCTAGTACTTCGCAGCGCAACGACGAGGTTAGAGACATCGGTAAATTTTTACTTCACTTTGGCCTCGAAGGTCATTCACCTTTTCGTGCCACACACAGCTGAGCATGGCGTTCGGAACAACTTCTCGATGTCATGGTTGCCTGGTAGTTCATAAGTACAACGTCCCGGTCAAGGGCAGCGGTTATAAAATCTGTACAATAATAATAATAAGAAAAGTCCTACTATCCACATAAAATGGTTATTTTATCACAAATTCGGTTTGTAGACAGGATCAAATAAATAGTCTTGTTTTGCTGAAAGACAAGAGTTTCTCTAATATTAACAATATTTATTAAGCCAAGTTACTCAGTGACTAATAAAAGAAGTTTATTACATTGCAATAAAATCATCTTGATAATTTTAAATACATAATTTAAAATAAACAAAATACTTTTACACATCTCGATGTTAGTGTGTTCAGTAGATTCTTTCGCGATCTATATTTACTTCTCACTGGGGTATTGGGAGTTAGCTTGAATATTCACAATACAGGTCCTTACATAAAGTACAATTGATAGATTTTTCGAGGCTCAATTTATAACATTTTTCACACTTACCGTCTTCGGAGGCGATTAATATACGAACTTACTGATCATTATGTTGAAGTTACCCTTGTTACGTTATTTTAGTGGTATCCCGTTTGGAATGTTGATTTTTCTCTATATTGAATTGGGCCGAGTTCTTGCATGGTGGTTGCGATAATAGACTTTCTTCTGATTGATTGAGGTCGAGAATCGAGTGGCCGAGACGCGGTGATGATTTGTGATTTAATTTATATTACGCGTAACGCTGTAGGTAATCTCAGTGTATAGTTAGTTGTATTCTATCATGTATAAATATTATTATTCAATTAGATTTTTTATGTATACCGTAGTTTTTCTTCGTATAAATGTCTATTATATTTAAATGCAATAATTTCTAAACTAGTCCTTTTATATTTTATTCAAAATTAACCGGTGATTGGTGGTCTAAGTGTTTTGAAAAGGGAATCGATGAATATATTAGTTTGGGAAAGAAAAATTAAACTTGTACTATGTCGCATGAATATTTCTCCGAGATTTTGTTATATTTTCTTGTTTTCACACTGATTTTTTATATATTATTGTTTGATAATTTTATGTTAAAATTGAGTATACCTTTATATCGAAATGGTGCTAGACGCTTAATTCTGCTCGTTTTATTTTTCGGTGTAGTTTAAGACTGTATATAAGTAAATCTTTAAGCCGTTGGTATGTAAGTTTCGCCAGTGATACGGCGTTTCCGCTTTATCTAATGTTGCCATTTTATATGTATTCTTTTTGTGTATAATTTAGACAGGGTGCGACGGGCCCTGTTTTTTTTTAACCTTATATTCATATCGAAATGAAGGGACTGAAGGACAGGGATACGCGGAAGGTGATCGATTAGGTAGGTTTTGTACGGAATGAATAATAATGTTTGTAAGAAAAGTCGAAAGAAATGTTTCAGCCCTAAACAGCTAAAACAGAGAACTCTAGTGTTGTATAATATTTGTATAAGCTTCGTTAAAGTTCGTTTAATGATTTCAATATAAATGTTGCCAACTTGTTTGCGTGCATCGTACTTTTTTTTGTTATTATCGTATACCCTTAGATTTAAGTTTGAAAATTAAGTTCTAATTTTAAGATTAAACGGTTTCTTTTTTAAATTAGTGGAGTATAAAATCAACGCATATTATTGGAAACTAAAATTTAAGAAAAAATATAATTGAGAATTAGAAAACACAAAAAAACATGCATAAAAGTGCGAATTTGAAAACAATATTTAGAAGAAGGTATTTTTATATTATGGTGAAGTATCTTTTTTATTTTTAAAGTGAAGTACCTATGTATTTGATGCAAAGTTATTATTATTACATAAGTACAAACTTGTTGAAGGACGATAAATTTGGCTCGGCCCAGTGTTTGTATACTAACGATTCGGTTGAATTCGTCGAATCTTAAAACAGCCTTATTATTAAACTTAAGGGGGTTAAAACACGACCCAATTGCGGCAGTATCCTAGCGGGCCTAGGTATCTGATTGAGATAAGATTTGTACAGGCCAGATAAAAAATATTTATTTATTTAAAAAAGTTAAGAAATTATTAATTATCTTTAAAAATTACATGTCGAATACTAAATAAATCACATAAATTAATTGACAAATATGTTTTTCAGATTCACTACTTTTACTCATATACTGAAATATATGTTTTTACTTTAGATTTTATATTTAAATAAAAAGAAAGTTGGCCAATTTTCAACCGCACTTGAATATTTGGGTTCTACACAAAAACAGCGACTGAAACGCCTTGCTCCTATAAACAACGTCATGTGTTGACCCCCTTTTAAAATCTATTTTATATCATAAGACTGTTGTAAGTTTTCTGAATTGCCAACTTTAATACTAGCTTGTAATCAGAAGGGAAAGCCATAAATATTAGGAGTAAAGATTAATATAATATATCGAACATTGATAATATAAATATTATAAATACGCTTAAATAAAATATTTTTGGCTGAACACTGTGTTTGATTCAAAACCAAATAAGAACTCATTTTTCTTTTTTCTTACGTATTAATTTATTAATAGTAGTTTGACACTGCTAAAGGTTAGTAAGTGAATAAAATTAAAATAAATTATTTTGTACTTACAATTAAAATTATTAAGTAAACACACAGGTACGGAATTTAATATCAAAAGTGGTCGCATCATTTATTTAACATAATTAATTATCTAGCATTAGGAATAGCTTTATAAAGTCAATTATTTTAATCCTTAAAATTTCGCGTTCTAATATCTATCTACAAAACTATTAAGTCTTAGCCTAAATTCTTTAGTACCACTTTTAAGGTCAACAAAGAACTTCCCGCTTCCCATTACTTATTATTTCGTATCTGTCATCGTCTATGATCTTGTAGATGTCTTGGCGGTAGCTCGTGATGTTGTTGAGATACCTAATGCCGCTTTCTTCTCTGATCTTGGTGAGGACGGAAGGCAAGGTCTTGGTCCCGGCTTCAGCCGCCAGCGATGCGTAATATTTTTCCTGCAACAATAATAATGATAAATTAATTACTTTGTATTCACACCTACTAAGTATTTATCACCAAACAAAGCAGAGTTTGAACTAAGAACACTAGACGAATATTTTTATAACGTGTCGTGAGAATAAATATTTGTGTTCATTCCTTAAATAAATACTGATATTGGGATTCGAAACCACAACCTTTGGAACAAAAAACCGATCGTTCACCAAACTAATGTTGAAAAGTAACACAATAGCCATTATGAACAAACATGGGGATGTTTAAGAAACGTTAGAAGTACGTAGCAGACAGATACAAACAATATTATGTTTTGCAAGTTTGTATTTACTACCTATGGAAAAAATGCAAAGGACTTTATCGAGTTGAACCGTAAATCCAAATGGATTCCTTTTTCCGTCCTGTTTTATTAATAGAACTAATAATATAACTGGGACGCTTTGTAAACGCTTTTTGCTATGATCAATGTTAATAAAATTGCAGTCATAATTTCATTATAAATACAGTTAAGATGTACTTATGTTGATTGTGCGAAAGTTGGTTCTCTTGGTTAGGTACTATATTTAGCGACACTAACGTTTATTTCAAGGCAAGTTAGTAAAGATAACCCAGTGAACGGCGTTCATAATATAGGTCGCTTTGCAACTGACAAGTTCCAACGAAGCCAGTATCAAGACGGCCAGCCTGCAGTATACGACGTGTGGAAATATCAGTGTGAATGTATTTATGAACTCCTGGTAAATCAGTGCGAATTAACGGACGGAATTAAAATGGTAATTAAAATTATGTTGTTATGTTGTCAATTAAAACAACTGTTCATGTTTTGAAGTAATAAATATTTGTGTTGGTTTTGTTTTATTTTCGTAAACTGACTTTTAGGACTGAGTTCAAGGACAAGATTTATATTATGAGGTATATGTTTTATATAAATAAGGTTGTATTTAAAATTGTTGGTAAGTACTATTATTAATAAAATAAGGTGTCTTAATTACTTGTAAAGGAAGGCAACCCAAAAACTTTGAATGTTTGCACAAAAGACCTAATAGCTAAATCATGGAGGACAGGCCTCTGGCCCAGTTCTTTGGGTCTCAACTTACAACTTACGAACCCCTAATTATTAAGGGACAGATTTTGATGAATTTTGATTTGAAAACAAAAGGAACCTGGATGAACGATATATATAGGTTATTTCTGGTAGCAAAAATTAAACTCGAGGGATGTGAAATTGATTCCATTAATTATATGGAAAATCGAAAAATAACATATACGGTCGATGTCACGCGCCAATTATAGTATTTTTTAACAGACTGTAAACTGTTTAATAAACCATTTTAGTCTTAAATCGGTGAACCGATTAAACTGAGTTTTGGTATGGGGATAGATCAGGTAGCGAAAATTATACTAGAAGGGCAGGAAAGTTAATGCTCTACGGGCAAAGATGCGATGAGCGCGGGCACATGTGGCGCAAAATAAACTAAAAACTACCCCTGGTTGGATACCGAAAACAATGAAGTGTGTTTAGATTTAAAGGATTTACTATCAATCTCTAATTTAAAAAAAAACCCATATCACTTAAAAGCCATTATTGACAAATCATCAAAGGGATATATCATAACTATAATGTACCTATACGTACGACTGAAGAAACGTAACCTACTTTTTACTAGTTTGATCCTGCAAGTTGAAAGTCCAGTCTCGTAATAGGCTTTTAATTTACGAAGTTATTCTTAGTGGTGGGATTTAAAACTCCCTTTATTACATGGCAACCTACTTAGCCCTTTTTTTTGATGACGGGGAGAAAAAATGCATTATATCCACGACAATGACCAACGCCACGTTGGTTTGCTGTTAATAAACCTTCGCGACGCAGGCAATGAGGGCTATCGCCTCTGAAACCGCCGCTAGAGGCGCTTGTGTTGCGTGAGGTCTCCGAAATGTCAAATGTTATAGCTTGCGGGTTGACTACGCGGTTTTTTTCTAATTAAAATAATAGTTGTGAACATTTGGTAATAAATGAGACTTATTATGGCAAATATGAGTTACGTGTCAATGATTGTCAGTTATTTAAAAGCGGAGCTAAGAAAAAATATTGTCCTTCTTTTTTCCGAACAAAACGGGACTGCGCAACACTGTGGCATGGGCGATTACGTTTAAGATACGATTCTTTTGTATTAAAATGTAAACTTTGATATCACGAGCGTGTTTACTAACTTTAAAAGTTACACTTCAGGACCTCACTCAACAGTAGCGCCATCTGGTGAGACAAAAAACGATAGCCCTCATTGCGTGGTGCACTCACGCAAGCGTGGCATATGTCAAACCACCCCGCCTCCGACCAGCAGCTCAGTCCGCACCCTCTTTAGCCGATCCTGGGCTTCTCCGTTCACAGCGTCACCTAACTAGTCTCACGGACCGCAGTCCGAGCGGCTAGACAGCTGACCAGCTCCCGTACCTACCAGGTAAACCAACTCCCCGATCTACCCCTCACCCTCCAGGCGTAACTGCGGGGTCCAGTTATGAAGTCTACTTAGCCTTAACCGTGGCATTGTCGTGATGAGAAATTTCTATTTGCCTCTACTGTGCCAATATCTTTGACGTCCGAGAAAATATCCTTTATTTTTATTGTTTTGATCATATCAACCGTTTTTATCACGCCTTTAAAGTCAATGGACCTTTTATTAGCTGCAAGGATAAATAAACTGCATATTAAAATTGTTTATTGAGTCATTCACCATGTCGTTATTAACAATGATTAATAATTACCTCGTACATTATGAAATATATGTTACTATAAGTTAGCTAAATAAATGTTAAGTACCTAAATAAATAAACGTTTTCTTTTATTGCTAAAGTTATAAACTAACGGAACCTTATACAAATTCTGTAATCTATAATTATAATGAGTAGAAAGATCAATAACTAAGTGATAAATCACAATATATTATATAGCGGTCCTAGTCAACATCCTTGTGTGACATTAGAGTGGAGTAAACAAAGTTTTCATCGTCGATGATGCGGTAAACGTCATTCCTGTAGTGAGTGAGATTGTGCAGAAACATGTGGCTACTGTGGTTATGCATCTTCGTGAGGACCAGAGGGAGAGGAACTGCCCCACACTCGTCTGACAGTGAAATGTAGTAATCCCCCTGGTTTAACAAGGTCGAAGTGAAATCGGCAAATAAATTATAAGTGAAATGAAAAATTCGCTAATGCAATATTTATCCGACACGGTAGTTTCGAAACAAAGTGCTTTTCATAAGAAATGTATTAGATTCTGGAATAAAAACATGGAGAAGAATGCAACAGTTGGTAAAACACTTTGGTCCGGTAAAATAACGAAGTATTTAGGACACGGTAACAAGGAGGTTAGTTCATACGCCCGGAAGCAAAGATCGGTGGTTTGATTCTTACATGGTATATGGGCCAAAAACTTTAAAAAAGTTCTTTAAGAGTATTCAGGAATTCTGAGCTTTTATGTATTAAGAGCCCTTTCACATTTTTTACAAAAAATTGCAATTTTTGAGCGCCTTATTTATCCCCTTAGAAAAGATTTTGACTATTTCCAATAGAAATTAACAGTAGAATTATTCTTCCAATTGAAAGTTAATGTAGAATATTTGCAAATACTATTTTTCTTTTTTTGTACTGATCGTTCTACTGCAGCTAGTTTACGGAAAAAACGATAATATACACAACTTCAAACGCCTGAGTCTCTCAATAATGTTCAATAAATTAGATCAAATTAATTACTAAGACATCAAAAATATGCTTTTGTTGTAACATAATGTATTAGAATTTTGATTTTCCATCTCATTTATTATAAAAAAAAATCTAACCTCCGTGAGTTTTCTCAAAAAATAATGCCGGTTTACCTCGTATTTTGATATAGAATTAAATATAATTATTATCAAACATTTTCATAAAACTAATCTACCATCATTGAACTACTGAAAATGTATATATTTTTTATAATTAATTCATGAATAATTATTTTATAAGACTCTAAACATCACCCGTAAAATGCAATAAACAATAGTGCAAATCTATCTATGCGCCGATTAGTATGGCAGCGGTGCAATTTTGTAAAAGGGCTCTTAACTCTACACAAAAGTTTTTTTAAAGCAATAAATACAAATAATTTGTTTGTTCATACAGCCTTGTCTCAAGCCTAATCAGAATAATAAAATCTATTATTTTAGGCCTTCAGTGATTTGTTATAATAAAAATTAGGACCAAATATGTCATAGTTTGAAGGAGTTTTGAAATAATATTCTTTATTTCGATATACTCACACAAATATTTTTTGTGTACATTTATTGTTCATTCACTTTGTAAAACGGAACATTTTGCTTTTTAAACAGACATGAAGTAATTTTTTATACTTTTATATCTGCATCATGCAGTCACCAAGGGATCTATTTTCTGTGATACACCCAACCATTACCGTTGCAATTAATGTTAATCACTTTGTTATACAATTTACATAGGTACTTCTATTTGCCATATATAAATATTTTGATTTGGTATATTAAAATAAATAAAATACCTAGTGTTTTTGGTAAGGTCCAACATTAATATTAACTTTAAAAAATTATTAACGTCACAATGCTTATAAAAAACAATGTTCATATTTAAACGACTTATTATCAATTTAATTATTAATACGGATTATCAGGTAATAAATAGTTTTTTTTCGATTGTTACAATTGAGTCGACATTGAAAACTATTTATAACTTTACCACTTCACTTGCATAGCAATGAATTTATAGGATATTAATGTAGCAGGATGTATTGATATGACCGTAAAAGGTAAGTAGGTACTTGTACCTACGTTTACGGGTAAAATAGACGGCTGATAAATTAATCATGTATAATAAGGATTTCCTGGTTCTGAAGAATAACCTAACGAATACATTAAAAGAATCATTAGAAAAATCAAGAATTCGAGTTACCCGGTCACGTCACATAAAGTGTGCCTGGAGGGGCGTGTACCCCCCTACACTCTAGCACATCTGTAAGGTCAATGTCCCTCACTGCACTAATGTGAGCTACTGAATGAGGATATTCTATAAGAGAACTTACTTGGCGGACCTCATCACGTTTGCAGGGCGGTGTGTGTACCTCCCTATACTCTTGCGTATCTCAGAAGTGTAAGTCAATGCCTGGAGTAATGTAAGGTGTGGAATGAGACTATCCTATTTCTTGAGCCAATGGTCTAGTCTCCAGGCGTGTATCTCCCTATCTTTCTCGTGTTCCTCTCCATTTAGTGAAGTTGGGGCACTAGCTTTGAAAACCACACTGTCCCTGGCGAGGTATAACAGATCTGCGGCGTTTTAGAGTCTGGTCCACTCGCGGATGTTTCGAAGCCAACACTTTTTCCGACGGCCTACCCGACGATTTCTCGCAATTTTGCCCATCATAATTAGTTGTTGTCCATCCCTTAGCCTCCGCTCATTTCAGTGGTCTAAGTCCGTGACTGGAATAATATGAGCTACTGTTCAGGATATTGTATAGGTACGTGTAGATACCTGGTCGGGTCTCATCATGTGTTGGCATGGCTGCGTGTGTATCTCCCTACACCCTCCCGCAATTGAGCGGCCTTTGTCGATCGCTGATATAGGCTGCTGATGATAATATTGTATAAGAGAAGTTACCTGGTCAAGCCCCATCACATTTGCATGGCGGCGCAACTTAGACTTCTAAGATACGCAGGAGTATTGGGTATATAGGTCTAAGTTCACCACTGGGCTAATGTAGGTACTTAATTGTTGAAGATATTGTATAGGATCTATATATATGCGAGTCTTGGACTATTAAAATAGAGCTCAGAAAACGTATAGAAGCATTCGAAATGTGGGCTTTCAGACGAATGTTGAAAGTTAGTTGGACTCAAATGGTAACAAATGATGAAATCCTGCGACGTGTCGGCAAGAAACGCGAACTTTGGGATACCATCAGAGTGAGGAATGTTGCGTATCTAGGGCACGTGATGAGACACGAAAAGTACGCCCTTTTACAATTAATAATGATGGGCAAAGTTGCTGGAAAACGAGGTGTCGATCGCAGGAAGATGTCTTGGTTGAGGAACATACCCCTTCGTTGTTCGGAGAGGCACTAGAAGAAGAAGAAGAATTGTATAGGAACGTGTAGTTACCTGGTCGGGTCCCATCATGTGTGTCTGGCGGCGCGTGTACCCGCGCGCGGCTCGCTCTTCCTTCTCCTGCTCCCAGTGTTGCTGCATCTGCGCGGGAGTTGGTAAACTGAACGCGCCGCTCATTGACCGCACGTAGTACCGCACCTGGAGCCAAGACAAGGGATAGGGGCAGGGTAGGCAACAGCGAGAGTGACTAAGGGTTATGGTGGCCGGTTATCATCAGGTCGACGAATATACCTGTTTCCCACCTATTTAACATAAAAAAAATCAACAGGGGGCCATTCGTCTAACGGAAATGATTTGGAAAACGCTAACGCTTACGATTTCATTTTGTTATTTCTAGCCGCCTGAGGTTTTCAAATGCCTCGCGCTCTATTTTCTTCTTTGCATTGGTAATAACAACATTAAAAAAAGAGGCGAGGTATTTGAAAACCTTCTGCGGTCAGAAATAACGAAATAAAATCGAAAGCGTTAGCGTTTTCCTAAGCATTTCCGTTAGGCGAATGGCCCCCAGGCCTCTCCTATGAATGGAATAAGGAGATTAAGACATGACCCACCACACGAGCCTTGCGCAGATAGGAAGGTAACAACTACTGTAGATGCAGCAATGATAATTATCGTTGAGATGCTGCCTAAACCAAGAGCTTAACATGGCTACCGAATCACGGAAGAGCTCGAGATAATTAATTCTTTGCACCTGTCCTATAATCTGCCATTGCGAAAGATGCATAATTTCCACGACCGCAGACTGAATGCGTTAAGAACTTGCGTCATCAAGCCCTAGGAGACATCGGCATTATTAAATGGCTATACCTTCATACACTCGGAAATTTCTCATTATTACCGTAAGTATGCGTATCGCCTCATTATGTTATGACGAGTTCTGCAGTTGATAGTCGGCAAGACTTGGAAACCGCAAGCATTCTTAATGTTGATTTTCCTAATAATGTTCATCCTTCTCTAGCTTAAATACTTGGTAATGACAAAGTTTATGACGTAATGATTACAGATTACTCATCCAGCATCGACAGAAACCACGCCACCAAAAGGTTACTTCCACGACGATGCCTTGTGTCCCATATGTTTCTGATTTCTATACACTTTAACTAATTATTTTATGGTTGAAAAATACAGGCCGGTAAGATGTTGGTGTGGCAGTTTATGACTGCTCTACCAGCTATCTTCGTGTTTAGACTTTATCATCACTTAACATCAGGTGGGGTAGAGTCATTTGCCTACCTGGCTATATATTAAAAAAAAAACATTTATAATCTTACCTGTAAGTCGAACATGGAGAAGGCGCACACATAGTAAGGTACCCCGATGAAGCACATGGTGGGGTGGTGTATGTTCACCAGATGTTTGTAGAGAGGCTCCACGCAGTTGTCCTCCACCACGATGCCGCAAGACTGGTGCAGGAACGGGAAATTGTACAGGTAACCTGAATCGAGAAAATTATGGTAGTTTTTTTTTTATTTTTGAAGTGAAAACTTTTTTTGCGGCGATGTACACTTTTTTTGTAATGGGTAAAAAATGTTAAACTCGCGTCAGGATACGTGACCTGATCGAAAATTCGTAAGACGGATGGAGAGTAGACAGCCGGCGCGGCGTAGGAGAGGAAGTATCCCCCTCTCTTTCTCGGCGCGGTGAAAATGTATCCTGCTGTTTCGTTTAGGGGGCGCAGGGCGCTTAAGCGAATGTTTGTGTGTGTTTGTACAGCGTGCCACGCGCATCCATGGATGGTGACAGCTGATGGATCGACCGTCTGTGTAGTGGCCACACTGCTGCGTATTCGTAAAATTCGTGTTTATAAAGGTGTTACTGATAATTAAAGCAATTCGTGCAAAATTATATTCCCTAATCATTCCAAAATATCAAAAATACACAACGTTAATATTCAAGTTTTCACTTCTGCCGGCACTCCCGGAGTGCAACCCGTCGTTTTTTTTTGTAAAAGGGTATTTGATAAGTTTTAGAAAACGATCTCACGTTATTGACTAATGTTTATGGAGTTCGTAAAACATGGATATTCATCATTCTGTTGTGTATTTCAGTAAAAATAACCAAATCAAAACTCCATTTACAAGTTGCCGCGAAAACGTTTCTCTGGACAATATGGCGTCTCACTGGTGTGTGACGTCACACGAATGTTATTTAAACGTCAAACGATACAATATAATGTCACCTTAACCGGAAGTTTACTTGCGTGTGACGTAATTTTAGGCTCCGCCAATCTCAAGCGTTTTGGTTCACGTGACAATAGATAAGAAAACTATTATCTTTTTCGTGGGTTTTTCGTAAAATTATGAATATTTTTTCTGTAAAAATAGTGAAAATCCCTGCCAGTATTCGTTCTTAACACAGATGCTAACAATTGACACTTTATTTGTAATACTGTCAAATACCCTATTAGCCTAGCCCCAAAGAAAGCATTGAAGGCTTGTGTTATACTAGGGTAACTGATAAAATACATATAAAAGTATATTTATATAGAATTTACATATTAAACATCCGCGACTGGAGTACAAATGCTCGTATTCATCACACAAACATCTGCCCCCACAAAGATTCAAACCCAGGACCTCTCGAGTTGGCAACACCATGAAACCCGGCGTACATACCTCTTAGTCACGGAGGTCGTCAAATCGTCAAAATATATTGAATCTGTAATACTACCTTTCGAAATGCTGAGGAATTGATCAAGTACTTACCTATTACATTTGTCTAGGGTTTATCGATACAATAAAGAAAATGTCGTCTGTTGCTGTAACCAGTTTAGATTCGAACTAGCACCATTCATCATCATCAGCCTATTAATATCCCCACTGCTGGTGCACTGGCCTTCCCTATGGATAGAATAGGGAGATTAGGCCATGACCCACCACGCGGGCCTAGTGCGGATAGGCGGGTGCTAACAACTGATGCAGCCGGGACCAACGGCTGAACGTGCCTTCCCAAGCACGGAGAAACTCGAGATAGAATCGCCATCGAGCTCGTCCATGTAGCACCATTCTCTTTCTGGGTATTATCATCCATCCCATTCCGCTAGCATGATTGGTGTCCGTTCGGTCGGATAGGGAAAGAATTTTCCTTACAATTCTATGAACTCACCGGTACATAAGAAGAAGACATCAACTTCCTCCTCGCTCCCGTCTTGGAAGTACGCGGTTTTTCCCTCTAGCTTTATCACATCGGGTTTCTGCACTAAGTTGTCTGGGAACGCCGTCTTCAGCTGCTCCTTGAGGTGGTGGCTGAGTATGACCTTCGGGGTGACTGTTGTGATCTCTAGAGCGATGTCCAAGCCTGATGGACCGGCTCCTACAACCAGAACTCTCTTGCCGGCGAAGGTCTCTGGGACTCTATAGTCGTGACTGTGCATCACGTCACCTGGTGAAGGAATAAATATTGACAAAGTAACTCAAAGCATTAAGCAACTAAATAATGACTTTCTAAAATAAAACTAGTTTTTTACGGGTTAATGCACGAAAACTTAGACCAACAGATACTATTAGTTCTTTTTGTTTGCATAATTTTACATAAGAAGGAGACAGAAAGCCTCTCTTGAGTTTGTTTCGCCGGTTCTTCTCCGAAAGGTCTCCCACTTTTGGAACCGGTGGTAGTTTACGGTAGTTAGGGTCAAATAAATAAATTCAATATTACAAAAAAGATTTTTAAATAAAGTACTTCATTGACTAAATTAAGTAATAAATTCATACATAGACCATAAAACTTTAAAAATCGAACAATGAAATAACCGAACGCTCAATAAAAGCCTTTCGAAGGTAGCTCGACAAAATTAAATAAAAAATTGATTCTGACGACGCAGCCTGTAAAGGCTGCGAAACGTCAATAAATAAATAAAGTTTTCGTGCATAACCCGTAAACAACTAGTTTTATTTAATAAGTGATGTGCGTGAAAACCTAATACCGGCCATACACACTACGAGAAATCGTTACGATCAGACTGTACAGTTCGAACGGAACAGTTTATACGATTTCGTTTAGTATAGGAAACTGTGCAGTTTTATAACATACACGCTACGATTTATTGGTACCGTTCGGACTGTACAGTCTAATCGTAACGATTTCTCGTAGTGTGTAATTCTATCTATTAAATACGTTGAGTAGGTAACCATATTTTCTTTGTGGGTGTAGAATAAGCAATATTTCTTTTCCGAGAGGTATTGAATCCAGATTTACAGATATGGCGAATGCAATAAGTTTCTTTGGTGTAAAATAACGACAGATAATAATAGTCAATAAGGAGTCATTGTTGATGCAGAGTATGTTTAGGTGAAAACCGAGTTAGCAAATTAGAGTGAAGCATCAAAGATTTTCTAATCTTTGGTTAGCATAAAATGTACCTAAGAGTTTAAATTTCTATTTTTTAAGCTTTTTACTGCTTTATGTATAAATCTAAAGAAAATTTTACTAAAACAAATCCACGCTGACTAGGGGGCCATTCGCCTTACGGAAATGCTTTGGGAAACGCTTTCGATTTAATTTTGTTATTTCTGACCGCCGAAGGTTTTTAAATACCTCACGCTCATTTTTTTTTCATATTGTTTTCACCAATGCAAAAGAAAAAAAATGAGCGCGAGGCATTTGAAAACCTCAGGCGGCTAGAAATAACAATGACATCGTAAACGTTAGCGTTTTCCAAAGCATTTCCGTTAGGCGAATGGCCCCCAGACCAGACCCGTCTGCTGTCTGGACGGCGTGGAAGTTTTTCTATTTTTTTTTTTAGATTTAAATACCTTAATTTTTTTTACTAGTGATTTTGTACTTGACCTTTTTAAGATGGCGTGGGATTCTTTCTCTTTGCACAGAGCTCCTCAACTAACTGAACACAGATACAGACACGGCAGAGCTCAAAAACGTGGACAGTGCAGGCCGGCAAGTTAAGATACCAGGTATCTTCTCGTATGGACTTTATCACCACTTAACATCAAAGGTGGGGTACACTCATTTGCCTTCCTCGCCACTGCCGGATTTAGGGGAGGGCAATCGGGGCGAAAGCCCCGGGGCCTCTACAAACGGGGGGCCCCCACAATAGAGACTTCGGAAAAAAAAATCTTTTAAATTCCAACTAGTAAACACTAGTAAACAGCTTTTCCTTTGATATTTTTTTTTGCTCTTTTACCTTTACCTACAGCCTACAGTACTTTGTACATCTAACATACATGATTATTTGATTATATAAATCTTAAATAACAGAAATCATTGCTCTATATTTGTTAACTCCAATCAGGCAATCAGTGAAATATCAAAATCTCAAATGGCCCTGATAAGCACTTCCAATTCACTACCCATCTTGAGGGAGTACCCTAATCGCTTAATGGCTGAGTGGGGTGGTACTTGCCCGCAGGGCCGAATTTAAGGCAGGGCAGGTGGGGCTGTGGCCCAGGGGCCTCCACAACAGTTTAAGAAATAACAACATTTCGATGGGTTAACAAGAATACAAATCCTAAGTGGCCCGGGGCCTCCACAATCCTAAATCCGGCCCTGTTCCTCGCTATATAAAAAACAATAGATGTTAGAAAAAGTGATTTTACCTTGAAAGTCCTTGAGGCCCGGTATGTTAGGTATGAAGGGCGTGTTATAATGTCCGTTGCACACGAACACGTAGTCGTACTCCCTCGTCTCCGACACCCCGGTGACCAGGCTCTTGTACGTGACGTCCCACAGCTCCCCCCTAGGGCCTCCCGCCTTGGGTTTGACAAGCTGGACATGGTGGTTGAACTGACGCCAAACATTGTTCCATGTTAATATTGGAAAACATTTAATATTGAGGAGCTCGATGGCGCAAATGGTTAGCGCGTTCGGCTGCGATCGTTGAAGTTAAGCAACTTTCACAGTGGTCGGTCATTGGATGGGTGACCAAAAATTTAATAACATGAGCTCCTCCGTGCTTCGGAAGGCACGTTAAGCCGTTGGTCCCGGCTGCATCTGCAGTCGTTAGCACCCACTAATCCGCACTGGGCCCGCGTGGTGGGTCATGGCCGAATCTCCCTATTCCATCCATAGGGAAGGCCTGTGCCCCAGCAGTGGGGACATTAATAGGCTGATGATGATGATGATGATAGAAAAACAAAAGACTCAACAGTATATTTTGACGGGTAATCAGGCTATCGTTTCGAAATTTCACGAGTTTGATTCCCAGTTGTAGCAGACGATTTTAAAAACATCCGTGAATGCAGTTCTAGTTGTGTGTTTCTCATTTCGGTGTTAACAAAACAGGAAGTTATACCTTGATGTGAGAAGTGACGCCGTGTTTGTCGGCATATAACTGTAGGAAAGCCAACATCTCCTTGGCAGGGAGGTAGGACTTCTCACTCTCAGGCACAGGGAAGTCGGGGAATCCCATCGCCTCCTTTGGCAGATTAGTTCTGTAACAATACGATTGTTACTTTAAATAAACGTTGCTTTAACATTTTAAGAGAGAATGTCTGTATCTCGTGGTAAAAGTTGATAATAGGTAGACGTTGAAAGTTTCATGAAAACTGTATGTCTGTTAAAACGAAATTAAAGCGCTCCTATAAATAACTAATAGTTTATGCAGAATTAAAATGGACTAATAGTAATGCGTCGAGGAACCCGATGGCATAATTGGTTAGCGCATTCGGTTGCTATCGTGAAAGCTAAGCAACTATCGCAATACCGGGTTATTGGATGGGTGACCAAAAATTTATTATTTTGAGCTCCATGTGCTTCGGAAAGCACATTAAGCCGCTGATCCCGGTTGCATGTGCAGTCGTTAGCACCCGTCAATCCGCTCTGTGGGTCACGGCTCAACCTCCCTATTCCATCCATAAGGAAAGTCAGTGCCCCAGCAGCGGGGAAAAATAATGGACTGATGATGATAGGAGGAGCTTGATGGCGCAAGTGGTTAGCGCGTTCGGCTGCGATCTTTGAAATTAAGCAACTTTCGCAGTGGTCGGTCATTGGATGGATGGCCAAAAATCTTCTATCTCGAGTTCCTCCGTGCGTCGGAAGGCACGTTAAGCCGTTGGTCTCGGCTGCATCTGCAGTCGTTAGCACCCACCAATCCGCACTGGGCCCGCGTGGTGGGTCATGGCCCAATGTCCCTATTCCATCCATAGGGAAGGCCTGTGCCCCAGTAGTGGGGACATTAATAGGCTGATGATGATGATGATGATGATGATGATAGGAAAGTATGAAAGTAAACACAATCATGTATGTATAAGGAAACGAACGCACTGATATCCGAGTCAAGTCAATACAGTTTGTCGCACTCCTGTTTACGTGTTACTAAACGTAAACATGGAATATTTTACGTTTCATCACTATTATTAACCTCTATACTGATCGACGATCTGTCTAAGTTCATACTTAACGCTGTCAATAAATAAAATATAATCACTTGCTGTACCTAACAGTACCTACTTCATAAAGGTAAACATTTTAGATCAAAGTACTATTACGAATTTGTTATTTATTGTCCAACTCTTTGATCCAATTACTTGGTTGTTTAGGTAAAATGTTATCAAATTATACGTTAATTTTGTCTAATATAGATTGACTAGCTGTGCCCCGCAGACTGAAAAAATCCGAAGAAAAGGCTTGAATTCCATTGAAAAATCCTGAGATTTTTACAGTTCGAAAATTTTCTTTCAAACGTACTCAACAATTTAAAAAAGTCGTAATATTATCGTTTATATACACTGCGGCGTCGCTCACGCGTTGCAAATCGCACTCGAAGCACGGGGGGTGGACGGGGTGGCAGCGGTATTGATATTAAGATATACATATATATAAGATTTTAATTGTACAAATATTTTTAAAGGAAGATTATTTTTAGTTTGTTTAACTTTTTATTAAAGAGATCTTTAAAACGTAAGCTGTATTTCGTTGAAAATTCAAAAAATCCTGAGATTTCATGAGATTTTCAAAATCCAGCCGCAATCCTGAGAAGAGTCCAAAAATCCTGAAATCTCAGGACAAATCCTGAGAACCCTACCCACAGTGTTACCCGCAGTTTGTTAGGGATATTTTCCCGCAGTAAAACGTAGCATATGTATTAATCCAGGGTGTCGACTAACTCCATAACAAATTTATTAAAATCGCTCCAGCCGTTTAGACGTGAAGAAGTAACAAACATATACAATCACTTCGCCTTTATAATATTAGTGTGATTACAGAAAACAAAGTCCAATATAAATAATGTTACTTATAATAAACAACTTTGTTTATTTCTTGGTCAAAACAAACTCGCTTTTTATTTTCTTTATTTGCTATTGCCCGTTTTTAGGGTTTCAACCTCAAAAGAAAAAAAGAAGCCCATAAAGGATCCTGTGTTGGCCGTCTGTCCCTCTGTCCGTCTGTAAAGATTATATTTTTCTCAGGATCGTGGGAAGTTATCAAATCCCAAAATGCAGTAGGTATCTGCATAATTCTACAAGCGGGGACAGATTTTAAAAAAACCACAAAATTAATCTTAAACAAAATAACTCCAACCGTACGAGAATTCTGGTACAAATACGAGATTTTCGGTCTTCCGTACGAGGAACGAGAACACTACACATCATGTATGTACGAGATTTTGTTAGATACATTTATAACATGATTTTTCATTGTAGGCAACATGTTGGAGCATAAACTGTAAGTATTCAAACCAATCTATGTGTATAAGAATTTTAATTTTAAGCAAATAATAAAATAATTTTATTTCTCACAAAAAAGGTTAACAAAAATCTTAGGCGAATTATATTATCATGTCGTCATTCGCAGGAGACTGGTGCCCGTGTAGGTTCATAGACCCGTGTTAACAGGACATCAGGCCCCCATTGTTTACAGAAAATATTACACCTGGACAATGATAATTTAAGGCCTGGGTTCCGAACCTGGGGGTAATTACCCCTCCGGGGGTAAATAAGCCATACTTCGGGGGTAAGAAAGAACCCAATTATTTGGTCAAATCTAAATAATGCTACTAAATAGAGCAAGCGCTCCTTCTTGATAGTGAGCCCGCGGGGTGCTGAGTGTGGGAAGCGGGGCGAGATTCTCTCCTGATGATGACATTATTAGATACGAAGATGTAGCAGCCAAATTGGAATTTCTTGGACTGATGTTAACATTTTAAAGTCGGGGTAAAATCTATTTCTCCTAATAGGTTACAGGGCTAGCAGTATTGGAAAGGTAAACCACTGCTCTAAGGGTTTGTATGGTAAGCATCGACTAATTATGTACCTATATGTGGATGTCAGTTTGTGTGTATGAGTGTGTGTGTGTGTATGTGAATATGTGTGTGTCCGTGTGTGATAAATGTTTGAATTTGAAGAAAATTTTATTGGAAAAACATTTCGTTACAGCCTATGGTTAATTGACCTGATGGCCTTTGATTTACACGCGCCTCACTCAGTATCAAGCTTAGCTAAGAACGACAACTATTTGTAAAGGCGTGCTTAAAAAGATGACCCGCGCCGGTACGGTAGAAATAATAAACATTTTTTTTTATTAAATAATTATCATTCATTTCATTGATAACAACCTATTACGCAGAAGCGAAGGAGAGAAATATTTTTCAAGTATGAAGGTTCATCGTCCGCACGGATAGCGAAAGATACAAGTTCTAATCTTTTTTTTTATGTTATAGGGGGCATACGAGCAGACGGATCACCTGATGGTAAGTGATCACCGTCGCCCATGGACACTTGCAACACCAGGAGTACCACAAATGCGATGCCGGCCTTTAAGGAAGGAGTACGCTCTTTTTTTGAAGGTTTTTGGGTCGTATTGGTCCGGAAACACTGCTGACGACAATATATTCCACAGTTTTGTCGTATGTAATAAAAAAATTCTACAAAAACGCACGGTTGTGGATAGCCACGCATCAAGATGATGGGGATGAAATTTTTGTCGCGATGTACGATGGCGAAATGCAGCAGCTGGAATTAATCCGAACAATTCCTCAGAACACTCTCCGTGATAGATGCGATAGAAGATGCAGAGCGAAGCTACCACCCTACGCAAAGCCAAAGGATCAAGCTGATCGGAAAGGTCCTGGTCGTCGACGATTCGAGCCGCTCGGCGCTGGATGCGATCCAAAGGGAGAAGCTGGTACTGGGGTGCCCCCGCCCAAAGATGAGAGCAGTACTCCATGTGCGGCCGAACCTGTGCCTTATAAAGTTGCAGTCGGTGGGCCGGTGTGAAGTACATTCTCGAATGTATTGAGCACACATTAATCCGATGCCTGGATCGGTAATAGGCGAAAAGAATCAGTACCCTTAGTACGAACCAATATCTCTTATCTATTAGACAAGTCCGTCCGTCCGTCCGTCCGTGGTGCTGTTTCAGCGGCCAAACCGTAAGAGATAGATAAAGAGAATGTTTAAGTTATAAGTTGAGAATAGTCTGATAAGACTACAAACCGGATGTGAGTAACGTAGCACTTCCGGTTTTCGAGAAATCACGTGATTTCTATTTCAAACGAAACCACACAAAATCTCCGAAGTTCTCATTTTTTTTTTTTGGGAACATTTGGTTCACTGGTTTGCTAGTCTCTTATCTAATAGACAAGTCCGTCCGTCCGTGGTGCTGTTACAGCGGCCAAACCGTAAGAGATAGATAAAGAGAATGTTTAAGTTATAAGTTAAAAATAGTCTGATAAGACTACAAACCGGATTTGAGTAACGTAGCACTTCCGGTTTTCGTGAAATCACGTGATTTCTATATTTTTTTTTTTTGGTTCACTGGTTTGCTAGTCAAATTCTAATAGTTTGCGAGTGCGAAATATCGTGTCAAATTTTGTATGGAAACTTGAACAGCAGCACCAAAAAGGACGTAACGAGAACAAAAAATCGTACACATTTGATAATGATATTTCGCACTCGCAAACTACTTAAAAGACATTGGGCAAAAATGTATGGACGCTGCACCCACGTCCGCCACGGCTTAAACTACATTTATTTGAAAGGTATTAAAGTCATGATCATATGTGACAAAGCGCATCAAATTCCATCCCGGGGGTCTTTAGTTATTTATAGTTAAACTAGCTGACCCAGCGAACTTCGTACCGCCCTAAAAAAATAGGGGTTGTCCAGCGGACAAAATTGTGAATCTAAACCATTCTCAGATTCCCTTGAACACACATAAAAAATTTCATCAAAATCGGTCCAGTCGTTTAAGAGAAGTTCAGTGACATACACACTCACAGAAGAATTATATATATAAAGATAAGTACAAGTTAATACATACCTATAACGAACGAACATTAATAAAATAAGGGAATTAATTTAGTTAGTTCGACCCTACATAGAGGGCTCAGGTATTATGGGAGTACTCCATAAGGTGCAAGGGTGCCATCTTGTGTTATTCTGCCGCGTTAGAGTAAATCCAAAAATCCCATGCGGGGTTGGTTTTTTTTCAAACAGTCTGTTCGTAATAGTAAATTGTCTTCTATGTAAACCGGAGCATCCACAAATCACACAAACTTGTCCACTCTTCGAAGAAAACGTGATTCCAGTTCATCCATACTATTTGACAAAACCGATAATCGTGTTCTAATGTACAAAGCGTGTTAGATAAAAATCAATCAAGTGACAGGGAGCGCACAATCACAACGAAGTAAGACGAGTGGAGTATTTGCAACTGCAAGTCTTTCAACCCCCGTAAAGCGTTTTGAGGTGATTCAGTAAGTGCAAGCGCAGGGTGGTCGGCAGGCTTTGTCATATATCTGGTTATATAGTACGATATGGCATATTATTATGGTTACTAATAATATAAAATGAAGGCACTATAAAGTGAATTTATTTAGCTACTTAAAATTTAAGTGAATTCACTTTATATGGGCATATTTAATATGCCCATTTGTCATATCTTTTGACTACCAGGATATTTTTTTACGGTGTCATAATAAAAAAGGCTAGTTTTTCATATATCTATCGATTCATACTAATAACATTGTTGGCGGAGCTGGGTGCGTTTTGCCCATTGTCCTTTGAATTTGGTTCGTACTAAGGTACTGATTCCTTTCACCTATTACCGATCCAGGCATCAGATCAGATCTTTTATTTGACGGTATTAAAAATAAAGTGCCAATTGTTAGCATCTGTATTTAGAATGAATATTGGCAGGACATTTTACTATTTTTGCAGAAAAAATATTCATAATTTAACTTAAACCCCACGGTAAAGATAATAGTTTTCTTGTCTTTTGTCACGTGACCCAAAACGCTTGGGATTGGTGGAGCCTAAAATGACATGAAAATAGAGTTTTTAAATTTAGTTTTTTTTACCGAATTACACAACATAATGATGAATATCCACTTTTTATGGACTCTATAAACATTAGTAAATAACGTGAGATCGTTTTCTAAAACTTGTCAAATACCCTATTCGATTTTGATTCGAATACAGGGTACAGGTGACCGAAATACGATTATGCATTTCAAGAATGTGTCACAGTATGTGATAGTGACAGATAAGTTGTGGTTTGTTTTTTCCCTAGCAACCAACACGATCTGCCGATATGCCGATACCCTGTGACCCCTCATTAGCTTCATTAAATGTCCGTTTCTAGAACACATTCTAAATAGGTAATGAAATTGTATGTAGGTATTGTAGTATTTTAGGAATAGGTTAGCAATTAATTAGGATCAATGAATACATTATTTTATGATTAAGATACGTAGGTATTTCAACAGAACTTATTTTAGAACTCGTCGGAAAAAATACCTAGATGTTCATACTTTCAACTTCAAACTTATGGTACGTAAAAACCAAACAAATAAATACAAAAAATGCTTATCACAGGCGTAGAACAAAGTTAAATTTATACATTTTATATAATTTCATGAAAGGAAATCATGATCAGCAGCCCACACATCTACATTTAATTAAAAAAAAAAGAATCACTTTTATATATTTAAAAAGTTTAGAATTCCATAATCATTAATTTGTTTACTACAAAATAACGCAACGGAAGTTTATCATAGTTCTTGATTACTCATGAGTTTACTATTATCGCAGTCGCAGTGATAAAAACTCAAGACTAGACTACAAATATATTATGTTGCAGTGTGAACTATAGCTAGACCGCCATACTAATATAATTATAGGTACTACCAACCTTCCGCGACTTCATCCGCGTTGCCTTTAGGTTTTTTTCGAATACGAAGTAGGTAATTTATCCGGAATAAAAAGTATCCTATGTCTCGATTCTAGGTCATAAACTATATGCTTGCCAAATATCATACAAATCTCTTCAGCGATTTTTGCGCGATTATTAGATTTACGAACCGATGGCGTAGCGTTTGACTTTCACAAGAGCTTGTAACAGCCTAGACTGAATAAATAAGTTTGAGTTTTTGAGTTTTGAATTGAGTAACAAGCATAAAAACATACAAACCATCACATTTATAATACTAGCGGCCGCCCGCGACTTTATCCGCGTTACCTTTAGTTTTTTGAGAATCCTCCAGAAACCTACATTTTTTTCGAGATAAAAAGTATCCTATGTCTCAATCCAGGTCAACTTTATGCGTACCAAATTTCATCCAAATCCGTTTAGTAGTTCCTCTTGCACATTCTTATTATTAGTAGGATAGGCTGCTACAACATCTCTGTTTGTATATACGACACAGCTTCACGCCTAACTGAACCGCTGAAGGTATAGTGATGAAGTGACCTAGCAAAAGACCATATGCGCTTTTGACATAAACGCTTCCATCAATATAGCTTACAGTTTTCTCATACTTACTAATAGTTACCGAGCTAAGCTTCGGAGACGCAGACGGATGGACGGACCTCCTCTTCCCGGCTCCAATTTCCACAATGCTGAGGGTCATGACCACCTCCTCGCAGCAAGAGTTTGTTGCGAATCACTCGACGACATCTTTATCAATCTTCCACTGAGTGTCTTGTCTTCACACTGTTGTATCGAGAGCTGTGCGGTTCTGATAAGGGCCAAACTGTCAGGTTTCTTCCACGTGGACCTTTTTTGGTTCCCCTGCACTTTGCCAGTGACCCTTACACCTCTCTAGGTTGTCGCCATTCTCTCTGGCAATTTGGCCAAAGAATACTAGGACCCTACGTAGGCGATGGAAAGCCTAGTCTGTATTTTCAGCTCTTGAAGGATCGACGCGCGTTGGTTCGATGTGCTGTCCCAGCAACTCTTCTCGAGAGCATCGTCGCACCCAGCTTTCTTCACGTCTCAACGTCGTACTAGAATATAGAAGACATCAGAGTGCGTAGGTGCAAGATTTCATATCTTGTGAACCTGAGCCTTTGCCACCCGTCTTCTTCTTTGTACCTCATTTTCGCACGAGCCATTGTAATTAATGCTTGAGCCATCAAGCTATCAAGTACTTCCAAGTCATGTTTCCCAGTGAGGTCAAGCTTGACCGTGTCATCTATGACCATGACCTTGTTTTTGGGCCTATTTATTAAAAGTGCCAGTTCTGTGCTAATGCGATCTATCCTATCAATGTAGGTAATCATCTCTGCTTCAGTTGCCAAACTACAAGGGTTCCTTGTTGAGTTGGAACCTCCAAAAATATCTTATTCATACTCTTCGGACGTCTTAGCTAACAAACCGATTTGTTTCTAGAACCACTGCGTGGAAAGCACGATCGCTGTCGATGCGTCAACCGGTAACTTGTCTGAACTCAATGTACTCACTCAACTAACAACTAACTTGACATAAATGGAGAAGAATCTTACCTCTTTTGTATACAGACACTTAGATTATACTTAGAAAGCAAACAAAAAATACCATCTAGTTAAGTATATGAAGATATGCTCGCCGCTACACATGCACACATTGACTGCGTTGGTACAATTTGGCATTTCCCGAGTCATGAGTCATCTTTGGGTGGTTTATTTGGATTGCTCTAACTAGGCGTATTAGTAATCAAAGCTTACCTCAGACTTTTATACAAGCTGGTGTGTATCGGCAGGCCGAAGTCGTCGTAGCCCGTGGTCTCGGTGTAGACCCAGGTGCCGCCCAGCTGCGCGGTCTGCTCGAGAATGTCCACGCGCCCCAAGCTGGGCTCGGCCAGCAGGTGCCTCGCGGCGCACAGACCCGCTGCGCCAGCGCCGATCACGCACACTCGCGCCATCTAGAATAATTATCGAAGCAAATTGAACTACTACGCAATTTAAATAAAACTATTTTAGTTTTTCCTTGATTGATACACTAAACACCAACTGTATTCTAAATTTGAAGCTTCTATGTCTGCTAGAAGCGCCTTAGAGTTTTGATTTGATGATCGGTCAGTCAGTGAGTGACAAAATTAAGAAACTTTGACTAGTTATAATTTTTAAACTACTAGCTCAAATTTAATGAAAATTTTAAATATATCGTGTTTATACAATGGCTACTTGGTTACTAAAAATCAGGCAAGCCACATTACGAGACTTTAAGCTGCATAATTACGAGGGAAAGAATCTACGGTTGGCAACCCTGCTCGACTCGTATTACGAAGGGTTTTGTATCGTCAAAGAAGATTTAAAACTGCTAAATATCATTTCCATTAAATTTTGTTTTATATTTCATATTACATTACACTTTTACAATTGCAACCAATTTCATACTAATACCTTGATCACACGTACCGAATAAACGGGCGAGACATTAAAATGTTTCTCTAGGGCGAGACAGTGATGGAAGTTAAAATCTCGGCCGTGCACTCGGAGCTATGTAACCGAGCTGAGAGCACTGTCTCGCTCGTTAGTTCGGTACGTGTGATCAAGGCATAAGGATCATGAGGTGACAAACGGACGAAGAAACAGCGAAGGTTTAGTAGGTAATAGAATTTAATTTTCATTTTTTCCGCCTTATTAATAAACGAAGACTACGCTTGGATTAGTTACTCTATGTTTTGTCTCTCTCTATTGAATGACAAATGATATTTTAGTGACATGAACAAAACACGGCGTAACTAGTCTAAGCTTATTCCTTGTTTATTAATAAGGGGGTAAGAGAAAGGAACCTCAAAGTTGATCACACGTACAAAGTACGTCACAAAGTTCACTTCTTAAACTGTTTCCATAAAACAGTGAATTAATTATCGTTGTTAATAGTTGTTCAGATAATAAAAAACCCGAGTTCGGTAAAATTATCGAGATAATGTGTAACCAAGGCGGTGTAGTTAAATCGGAATCTTTTCAATAATTAACTTAATTACCATAACAACCGTTTTTTTATTTCTTAACTATTTATAACTACAATACACGTTCCAGATATGGACGGAATTATACAGAGAGATAAATTTATTTAATCATTACTTCTATCTTTTTACGGTAAGTAAAGCATGTTATGTTGAGATCATTATATTTTGTAACTAGTGCGCCCGTGACTTAGTCCATAAACGTGAATAACGGACCCAACATTTTTCCCCGATAAAAGTCTCATAAGTCTCAATCCAGGGGGCCATTCGCCTTATGGAAATGCTTTGGAAAACGCTATCGCTTACGGTTTCATTTTGTTATTTCTAGCCCCCTGAGGTTTTCAAATGCCTCGCGCTCTTTTTTTTTCTTTTGCATTGGTAATAACAATGTTAAATAAAATGAGCGTGAGGTATTTCGGCGTAGCGTTTTCCAAAGCAATCCAGTTAGGCGATTGGCCCACAGGTCATAAATTATATGCGTATCAAAGTTCATCCAAATCCGTTGAGTAGTTTTTGCGTGATTGTAACAAACTTTCACATTTACAATAGCTAATAGACTCTTTAGTGTTATGTAACGGTGGAAATATTTACCACCATAGGCGTTCCGAGAATTGAGGAAACTCCTATGCTTCATTATCTTCATCATTGGCTAATGAGCCCACTGCAAGGGCATGGGCTTTGAGATAGGGCTATAATAACCAACCACGCAGACCGAGTGCAAATCGGTGGGCACTACCTACAGCAGATGCAACTTGGACAAAGGGATTTACGTGCGTTCCGTAGCACATGATTAGGTCATTCGATCAATATATATCTTTATATATATAATTCTTCTGTGAGTGTGTATGTCACTGAACTTCTCTTAAACGAATGGACCGATTTTGATGAAATTTTTTGTGTGTGTTCAAGGGGATCTGAGAATGGTTTAGATTCACAATTTTGTCCGCTGGACAACCCCTATTTTTTTAGGGCGGTACGAAGTTCGCTGGGTCAGCTAGTATATATATAAAACTCAAAGGTGACTGACTGACATAGTGATCTATCAACGCACAGCCCAAATCACTGGACGGATCGGACTGAAATTTGGCATGTAGGTAGATGTTATGACGTAGGCATCCGCTAAGAAAGGATTGTGATCAATTCTACCCCCAAGGGGATAAAATAGGGAATGAAAGTTTGTATTAAACTTTGTCAATTTTAAACCGACCGGGCTGAGACCTTGCATGCAGGTATAAGAAGAATCGTAGATGAATGTCAGTGTGTATAATACAAGCCTGAGAACAAAAACTGTAGTCTACACTTCAGCTCTACACCGAAGCGAAGCGAGGGCGGACCACTAGTCGTTTATAATTTGCGGAGCCTACTGGTTACGCATAGTTTATGCAACCGTATAATTGTCATTAGCCTGGTTAATGCCTCAAGCCTTTCCAAGGACAGAATTATGTAGGGGAGCCATAGATAGCGAGTTCAAGAACCGAGCATAAAACTTTGATCACATATCTGATGCCTGACCACTGTGAAAGTAGTTCAACTTCTGTAATTGCAGACACGAACACGATGCTATTAATAACTGTGCCATCGAGATTAACCATTGTATTTTGTGAGTTACTCCAAAAGGCTTGCAGAGCTTTTTGTAGATCTTCCTTAGTAGACGAACAGCCTTGAGTGGAAGATCTGGTATTATACAAGGTCTGGGAAATGTTCTTATGTATCCTTCAGCCACAGGGGGAGCAAGGAGATGGTACCTGGGACTCCTCCCTGCTCTTTTAACTGAGCCCCGGTTCTACCAACAGTGAAAACCAGACAATACTTCTGTACTGGTCACCTGAAACGCATTGTTAGGACCGTGGTCCCCCCGATGCGCGCCGGGAGTGATGATACGGTACCCTATTTCGATATAATGGGAGAATGTAAGTTTAATTAAAAAAAGAGGTTCAACAAGGATAATAATACACATTATTATTATTAATGACGACCTCCGTGGCCGAGTGGTTTGTACGCCGGGTTCATGGTGTCGCCGACTCGAGAGGTCCCGGGTTCGAATCCCGGTGGGGGCAGATGTTTGTGTGAAGAATACGAGCATTCGTACTCCAGTCATGGATGTTTAATATGTATTTCTATATAAATATACTTATTTAAGTACAGTATATGTATTCTATCCGTTACCCTAGTATCCCATAACACAAGCCTTATAGTGCTTACTTTGGGGCAAGGCTTATTGGTTTGAGTGTTGGAAATATTTATTATTATTAAAATATAATTAAAGAAATTACAATTCAAGTGCATTATCTTTGTTGTAAAGTTTTATAATCACTAAACGTGTTCCATTAGTAGTTTGTTTCCCTGAATTGAGACATAGGATACTTGTTATACCGGAAAAATATTTGGGTTCCTGTGGGATTCTTACAAAACTAAAGTTAACGGGGAAGAGGTAATGGGCAGCCGCTAATTTGATATGCATAATTGAATCGTGTTAATCACTTGAAACAGGTTATAATGACAGATGGTAACAATTATCAATTTATCAATAATAATCATTTATCAGTACCTACAATGTAGTCTTAGTAATACAAGAGGAAGGTGAAAAGATAACTTAACGATAGCATACCGGAATTAAAAAAATGATGCTTAGATGTTTAATTCACGAGATAAGTGTTAATGATGTAAGGTACTTAATTTCATTTAATTACATTAAGTACCTAACGTCATTAACAATTATCTGATGGATAAGGACTTAATTGAGTAATATATAAATATGATTGCGATGAATGATGAATGACATTTAATGTTGTGATGAATTTAATTTTATTGTAATTGTTATTTTTTTTATGTAGTATAATAATGAATATCTGATGGATAAGGACTTAAATAAATGATAAGAAGTTTAAATAAGATCACTGACAATTATTATTATGATGCCATTTTATTTTGAATTGTAATTTAATTTTAATTGTTTTTTTCGCGTAGTATAACTTAAAGTGCCGTTATTAATTCTATATTTGTATGTCTGATGGCTGGTCGTAGTTGGATAACCATGTATTACCTATGTACCACAAATAAATAAATGAAATGAAAAAAAAAATTCATTAATTTTGGTGGATTTCAGGGTAGGATTTAGGAGGGGGGGGAGGTCTCCCCGACTCCCCCCCGATTAAAATTATTGGCGGAAATGCATGGTAATATGAAATAATGTTTAAACTCAAATTAATGACCAACTAACTAGGCAGTTCACTCTAATTATGTTTTAGAAACGACCAAAATAACCCAAAACCGAATAATACTTAATTGAGTTGATTTTTTTTAATCATCCTCAGTTTGGAATCGAACCAAGGACCTGTGTGCTAGCCACTCGATGACGGTGGTCATCTATGATCTGTCTACTAGTCTACTGGTGGTCAAGATTAGAACAACGGGTGAATTTTCATTGCAAATATAGCTTTTTATGAAACGGCATAAACATAAGTTTGTTTTTTTTTTTGGAAAAACGGTCGTAGTCCACCGTTTCTAGTAATTCTTTTTCTGTAGCGACTTCTATGTATTGCAACGTAACTTGTGTGTTAGTCGAATCTGTTTTAACTCATAATTAAAAGAAAATTCGTTTAAATTATAAAAGTGAACCGAAAAATAAACAAAGTGACGGACTAAAAATAAACAATTTTAAATAAGTTCGAAAGTTGGTGAGTGTGTATGTTTGTTAATTCTTCGCGTCTAAACGGCTGGAGTGATTTTAATAAAATTTAGTATGGAGTTAGCTGACACCCTGGATTAACACATAAAGGAGAAATATCCATAATAAACCGCGGTTAACACCGCGGGGCTGAGCAGGTAATAAACTAACGATGTCTGAAAAATTTAAAGGTAATTTTTTTACGTAAACAATGTTACTACATATGTACATAAATAATAAAACCAGAAACTTTAATTTAAAAAATATAACCAATAGGTTCTTTTTAAGTTTTTAGACAATAAATAGTTTTAAGCTTTTGTAATTTAAATATTTATATGTAAATATAATAAATATGTATACCAAAAGGTTATATTATAAATAACCCTCGCTTGAAAAATTTAGTATCATTGTATAAAATTAGACACTAACCTTTTCTTGGAAATATCCCGAATTACAACACAAAAAAAAAATTAACCAAAAAATCACTCCACTATCACTGGGCGTGAACTAGATAACTAGGTAGGGGGTTTGTTAAATACTAGGGGATAAGTGTTGTTGACTAGTTGACAGATAATTTTCAAATGCGGTCTGATGATGCCCGCTCACCGTTTTATGCCCGGCGCAAGCGCATGGAACAAGCTGCCATGCATATGTCATGCATGTCAGTTGGTTCCATCATCGAAGAAAATAAGCAGAAAAAATACGACTTAAAAGTTTAAAATTATACAAAGATCTTGACCTTATTTAATTTTATATTAAAGAAAATAGTTAATATTTTCGGACTCAAATATGGGATATAAGAGATAAATGAAGAATTTTGTAATTACTGTGATTTTCGAATGACTTTAATAATCCGGTAAGCCTAATAATCTTTAGTCTTAAAAATCCTAACAAATATTTTCCGAGACCTTATAGTACAAAAGGTCGCGAAATAACACGCTTTTAGAGATTTTCACAAAATTATGAATGTAGACTGCTTATTTTTGAATGAAATTTACATATTATAGGTACCTACCTAGAATTCGATGTTTCGCAAACTCAAATTATCCGCAACATTCCTAGCGTCCTAGATCAACCTAATCACGGGTTTTGTATACTTAATAAACCAAACTAAATTGATTCCTCTTCGCCAAAACATCATTGACTTAACAGGGGTCTGAGTAGACTGGTTGTTTGGATGCAATGACGAAACACGCAATGCACCTTGCATTAGACACCTTTCCGGCGAATGCGACGGCAATATAAACAATAATTCTGTCTCTGTCATTGGCAGTTCTACCAGTGTATAATCATGCAAAAGTTTAAAAAGCACTGGTAGATGCTCTCAAAGCATCACATATTCGGCATATTTTCGGAAAACACGCAAACTTAAAAGCGAAAGCAGATTCATTATTTCACTGCATAAAATAATTTACTTCGTTTAATAATAACCGGTGAACGAATCGACAGATTTTTTGCTGCGTTCTTTGTTTTCAGTAGAAATTGTTTTGGAAAATCCCTTAAACGTATCCGGGAAATTCGGGAATTGGCGTTTCTTTTCGGGGTTCATGAAACGTTGCCAAAAGCAATGCTTTATTATTTTGATTAGTTATTGTAATTTGTTTCTTAGGTTTTCACGCACATCACCTATTAAATAAAACTAGTTTTAACGGGTTTTCATTTCCTGAAGATATGCCGAGACCACAATCTCGTCCCACCTTGTGTGAGAATCACACAAAAAAAGGACATACGTGGGAGCGCCAAGATCTTACAAGAGGCAAGTAAAAAGCTACTTCGAAGGATTTATAGAAGGGCATCGTTCGGATTTATATAAAGAAATATCCGAACGCTCAATAAAAGTCTTTCAAAAGGTAGCTCGATATAGTAAATAAAAAAAACATTATTCTGACGATGCAGACCTGAGAAGGCTGCGAAACGTCAATGAATAAATAAAGTTCGTGCATTAACCCGTTAAAGCTAGTTTTATTTAGTTAATGTAAACTAATATACTTAATTATAATTTTTATTATTTTTTAAAGCATGTAACTGCTTGATGTTTAAATCTAAAGAAAATATAACTAGAAAAAATTCCACGCGGACCAGGCAGCAGACGGGACTCGAACCCGCACCCTTCGCAATCCGGGCGAATGCACTGACCAATTATGCTACCGCGGTCCTCTCAGACCGCGTCGAAATTCTTCTAGCCATTCTTAAGCTGCAAGGCAGCGCCATCTCTTCGCATTATAGGTAACCCACAATGTCAAATGAATACTTTTACAAGTAATAAACATTTTAAAGAAGAAACTATAACTATAATTCCTATTTCTCAGTGCATTCACCGTTTCAACATTTCTCAGTACGGATCCCGTCTGCTGCCTGGTCCGCGTGGAATTTTTTCTAATATCCTTAATATTGGAACTTACATTTGCACACTTGGACGGAATTTTACCCTGTTGCCTGTAATGCAGGTTATCCTACCACGGGCAACAGTAGTCATCTTTTACAATATTTAAACTTCAATGTGCCTATTGTCACCAATTTTTGTCACATCGGTTTAAAAATATTGAAACTTAATTACAACAACAGTCAATAAACGTTTAATTACTATTAATTATGTGGTGTGTGCTAGGTTTTGTTCCAAATTCTGAACATTTGTCGTTGTTTTCATTAGTGGTACCTTAATTGCAATCTGCGCTGCAAAGACCTGGGGATCACTAGTAAAATAAATTGGGGGAGTTTATTTATCTATCGACAGCTCCCTAGATTTTAGTTAAAGAAGGAAAAAGTAGACCAATTCAATAACTGCAATCTATCTTATCTTCTGTAAACTCCGGGTTTTTGACACAATTTATTAAATCGCCACGGATTATCGGCAGCCAGGTAAACGATTGTTTATAAACAAACAATAGGTGTGCCATGGTAGCCATGCGGCCGCCCGGCCGGCGCAAGCGCAACGTGCATGACGCAACCGATACACGCGTCTTGCGTTAGATTACGTCTATGGAAAAATTCGATCCAGTTTCGTCAGCCGGCTTTGGCATCTTCAGCTAAAATAATCATTTACCAATTGCCATTTGAAATTCTGATTGCGTTTGATGGCCTTTCATTTTATTTTTGTAACATCTTACAAAATACGTATTTAGAATATTTTAAATAAGGTCATCGACTTTTTAATTTTATTAAATCAAGCTACATGGTTTCATTATTCTTCTTTGATTAAATATTTATGTTTTATCCAAATTCATTTCAAAATCAAGTTTCTGGATAATAATCTGCAGCTCTATAGGATTATCTGACACGAAAAAGAAGCCCTTTGCAAATTATTATTAAAAATAACAAAAAAAACATTTTATTAATATCAGTTCGAAAGTATGTATGTTGATTTTGTTATCACGCCGTAGCCAGGACTGAACTGATTTTGATGAATTTTGATCTTTCGTGTTAAAAAAGACTTTGATTTTCGTGCCGAAAATAAAATTTCTAAGGGTATGGAATAAAAAGAAATATTTTGATTTTATTTACCTTATTATTATCTTTTTTCGAAGACTGATATATCACCGATCCAAACTTATCATAAGTTTAATATGCTCTCGCATTTATAATCATCATCATCATCATCAGCCTATAAATGTCCCCACTGCTGGGGCACAGGCCTTCCCTATGGATGGAATAGGGAGATTGGGCCATGACCCACCACGCGGGCCCATTGGTGGGTGCTAACAACTGTAGATGCAGCCGGGACCAAAGGCTTAACGTGCCTTCCGAAGCACGGAGGAGCTCGAAATAGTAAATTTTTGGTCACCCATCCAATGACCGACCACTGCGAAAGTTGCTTAACTTCAACTATCACAGCCGAACGCGCTAACCACTTGCGCCATTTATGCATTTATAATATCGATGAATATTTGTACGGAATATCAAGTTACAGTTACAATGTTTCTACTAACTATTTGTCAGTTACGTGTATATACGATGCGGTTTGCAATCCATGAACCCGGAACCTTCGTGTCCAACTTCTCGACATCAACCTTTATCTAAAATGTAATAAAATTATGCAAACAAAACAAGTAAACGTTATCATTAACTAGTGGTCCGCCCTCGCTTCGCTTCGGTGTAGAGCTGAAGTGTAGACTATACTTTTTGTTCTCAGGCTTGTATTATACACAATGACATTCTTCTTATACCTGCATGCAAAGTTTCAGCCCGATCGGTTTAAAATTGACAAAGTTTCATACAAACTTTCATTCCCTATGGGGATAACCCTTGAGGGTAGAATTGATCAAAATACTTTCTTAGCGGATGCCTACGCCAAATTTCAGCCCGATCCGTCCAGTGGTTTGAGCTGTGCGTTGATAGATCAGTCAGTCAGTCAGTCACCTTTGAGTTTTATATATATGTATAGAAGAAGAAGATAGAAGATTGGTCGAACTCATGTAGGAATATGTAACTTCTTTGCAATAGGTATGAGAGGGCAGGAGAGTGGTATTGACGCTTGAATTCCGGTAACTAACGTCTGCCTGGGGAAGTAAGGGCGTCCATAAATAGCGTGAGATGTTTTAGGGGGGGGGGGGGGGGGGAGGTCGAGTCAAATCTCATCTAATCTTACGTTGGAGAGAGAGGGGTCCCGGCAAATAAAAAAAATATACTTTTTTGGTCCATTTAATCCAGATTGTACATGCTTAAGATTAAATCTTAAGCGTAATCGTAATACGATAATTCACTAATTCGTTCGGAAGAAAATAATATCATTTATACTTCGACGTTATACATCTTCTGATTGTCAAACCATCAACGCGTTTACGCAGGAAACCCACATTTTGAAAAATATCACGTGAGATTGGAGGATGGGGGAGGGGTTTGAATAAAATCTCACGACATCTCCCCAGGGCGGGGGGAAGAGACAGAAAATAAATATAAATAAAAAATAGATATTTCCAACACTCACACCAATTAGTCTAGTCCCAAAGTAAGCACTGTAAGCCTTGTGTTATGGGATACTAAGGAAACGGATAGAATACATATACTGTACATATATTAGTATATTTTCATCCTTCCATCTCTTGTAAGAAAAAATATTAATTTGTTTCTTAAAAACAGTGATGTTCACACACTTAATACAAGAAACAAAAATAAACTAACTTTACCTGTTACTAGGCTTCACAAAATCAATAATTCATTTAAAGGTCTTTGTGTTCGCTTATACATTAAAGTCCCAAGCAATATCCAAGAGTTAAGCATAAATTAATTCAAAGATAGTATAAAAAAAACACTTATTAAAAAAGCTTATTACAAAGTGTCTGATTATATTACAGACAAAAATGCTTGGGTTTGAACTGTTCCAATCATTCCAACAGGTGTTCTATATTAAATAAATCATGATTGTATTGACGTTGTAACAACATAATGATTTGTAAATGTTGTTACATTATGCTTTTAATGTTGTGGAGTTGTTTCGCTCGTTTTTCCCCGCAGCTAAAAAATATGTCCAATAACGAGTGGTAGGGAAAAAAATGTTTGGACGATTCAAAAGTGTTGTACTTTACATCCAATTTGAA